GTGTAAGCCTTATTTTACTAGAAAAATGTATTCATTACCAGTTTTCTACATAACACCCCCGCAAATATTGCTAAGCCAATGATAAGGTGGCTGTTGTTTACTCCAGCTTTATGTTAAGTTCATTGGTTAAAGATAATAAATAAGCGAAACTTTTGCATCATTTATTTTTTACCAATATATTTAAAAGCCGAACATCTGATTACTGCTTTACTGCTTCTTTTTACATTTCTGAAAAAAAAAAATATGGCTTTGGAATATATAATAGTTATAGTAATGCGATTAACTCGAACAACATTTTCATTCGAATTCTTTCAACGAAGTGTTCTTTTCAAACAGACTATCCCCCAAACATATATAAGGCACGTGTCCGCGTCATAAGTCTAGTTGTAGGTTAGACCAGACTCTTGTTAAAGTTGTTGTTGTTGTTATTTTTTAACTTTCGCACAAAACTGTCCTGGCAATTTGCTTCGTTAGGTGAACTATCGCAAGCAAATATAAAACATTCATTCAACTGATTTAAATCTTGGTTACATTTATGTTCTGAAAGTGGGGCCGCATTAGTAAAGTAACTGATTGCTTGGCTTTTGACAACATTTTTATTTCCGATAAAAATAATTGAAGATACCAAACATTCAGTAAGTATATCGAGGAGATTAAAGTTATATATTGAACAACTGAAGTTAACTGTAAGGAAAGATGAGAGTGTATTTTATTAAACAACAAATTAAATTATTTTATCATTTCCAGAAAATATTTTTACAAATCCATCTACTCCGTTTAGACGCATAAGATTGTCGACAATCAGAAGCAACAATGACAGGTTACCAAATCTACAATCTAATCTTTTGAAGTCTCTTTTACATAATGTCCATGTAGTTTTCATTTCTCCGTGTAAATTACGTCATATAATCATAGTATTCTTGAAATGTAACGGTATTTTCAAATTATGTTTCTACCATACCTAGGTTTGTCAAAAATAAAATATTGTTATCAACTTAAACATAAATCTCAGTTGCAAACACACGGATCGTGTAAGTTTACCATTGAGTAATATCATATTACATGGCTGTATAGAGATATATTATATAACACAGACTTGAATTTTCTTTGTTGTGATTTTCGATAATTTTCTGTTAATAAAAATAGTTGTTATAGGCCACTTCATACATAAAACACATTTAACAGATACGACTTCCAATTATTTAAATATGTAATACAAATTAAAATACCACTTTTTCCAAATAATAAAATAAATTACTATAATGACTGGTGGTCTGTGAAACTTAAATGCGTAAAAATGTAATTTTGAGTTAGTGGAACAATTGCTAAATTGTACAGACCTAAAAACAAATATGTTTTTACCTGTAATCGATTTGTTTCAAAGATATCATCGATGTTCGAACTCTTTACCCGCTATTTATACCCAAGTGTTTGACAACTATTTGTATCACCTTGTGAAGGACAAATAACAAGCACCACATTAAATACTGGCACAACCAAGCTGCATGACAACAGTTGCTAAGGTAAACAAAGATTTCAATACAGCCAATCATAAAGTCTAAACATTATGGAAAGACACCGGTTGACGTCAGCAACAAGTCCCAATAGGCCGAGTGTTTGCCTAACAACAAAACAATAAACACTGAATCATCATAGGTGAATCTGTAGTGGTAATACCTAAATCATGACTTTTGGTTGCAACACTTGTCAGTATAAAGTCATAAGTCAACTTCCACTTCCATCGATAAATTGCTGTCAATTTCACTCTAAGAGCTGGCAGGCTATCTGATGCCTGATATGAACTAACTTTAACATTACTGACCAGTAGGCAGTACAGTGTAACATTTAAGTCGTTATACTTTAAAGCAGGTGTGCTTTTTCTCAAAGCTCAATGCTGGGTAAACAAATATATTGTTTTAATTGTTATCCCTATGTCGTTTTATATTCAATTAATAGGTCTCACACACACACATGTATATATATATATATATATATATATATATATATATATATATATATATATATATATATATATATATATATATATATATATATATATATTAAATATGAGTGTTTATTTATTTATATTCAAGCACTAATTGCTCCAATACAAAAACCGGCGAAGCCTATGACAAAGCAATATCCAGCTTTAACTGTATTAAAATAGATTGATACCGCTGGCACTTGAATTCAATTTATTTGACAATGTCAGATTTACAGTTTTCAAAAAAAAAAAGGCTGGTTTATTTTACAGACTATTTACTTGTTTTGGTCTGTAATAAATTCTGATTGATTGCTTAAAAAATATGTTACTTTTAAAATAAATGTTGTTTTATTCAGTAATTATTATCGTTAAACAAACTTGTTTAGTACGTTCAATATTGCTGACAATGTGACATTAACAGAAATGTGGGGGTTTAGTCATTTTAGGTGATGCCAAGTTTAAATGTTTCTTGTGTTAACTGACTACATGTAGAAGCTAAGCGTTCGGAGCCAAATGAAGAATTGTTTTTAAAAAACGAATCATTTCTCGATCATCAGGAGAGAGCTTTCGGCAATCGTATGAAGGAAAAGAATGATTACTATGTGTTTAAATAAATATAAAATTACTATTTTCTCAATGAAACCATGTAATTTTAGAACATTTTTTACTAAATGTTTACATTTTGATCGTTTAAGTCAGTATTAGAAATTTTCCCTTGAAAGTATAATTATTCTAAAGCTTAACGTATTGCCAACAAGATGATTTTAACAACATAACTAAGTAGATAAATATTTAATCAAGCTTTTCTGTATAATACGCAACCTTGCTATCCGCAACATAACGGTCTGACTTCAGAAAGATTCGCCAAGGTGCACGTCCACGTGAAGCACGCGACCCCCCCCCCCCCCCCAAAGGCCACGCCATAAATCTACTATGGCCTGTTAAAAATATAAATGTTATAATAAATCTTAGGACCACTTAAAATTGAATTCGGCATTTGATCTGAACGGTACGTGACGTCAAGCATCGAGTGGGAGGGGCAGTTTGATTTTACAGAAATGTTTGGGGGTTAGATGGTGCTTTCAGACTAGTCTCAGGGGCTACGGTCGATCGATTGCATGATACCACCTGGGTTCCAATACGTTTTCAAATGTGTTTAAACCTAGTCGGGGCGGACACTTTTGGGGATTCCATTAAAACAGTAGCCGATTATTTTTTCAAGAAAATAGCAAGCCCTGCTATGAGTGGTATCAATGAACTTAACATAAAGCTGGAGTAAACAACAGCCACCTTATCATTGGCTTAGCAATATTTGCGGGGGTGTTATGTAGAAAACTGGTAATGAATACATTTTTCTAGTAAAATAAGGCTTACACATAAAGTAAAGAAAAATCATGTCAATAATTTGACAGGATAGAACACGTACACTGACACGTTCACATACTTACATTCATATTTATACCAATATCTTCTCCACGGAGCGGGGGGGGGGGGGGGGGAAGCACTTGAAATTTTCGGGGGGGGGGGGGGGGGGGCTAAATTTTCAGGGTAGGGGGGGATACTGGTAAAAATGTATTCTCTGTGTAAATTCTATTTCGTTTTATGGGGCGGTGGACGTTCTACTGGGCCCCGTTGCCTGAAAGAAACTCTGAATGCGACTTTTGTCAAGTTTCAGATGAGGTGCAGGATTAAGGGGTATGACTTCGACTACATTAAGTATGAATGTGCCGTAACTACGTGTAGATCCAGGTTAAATTAGGTTAAAATGACGATGTGGAATAATAATCCGTTTTCAATGACATTCCTGTTAAATTTGAAGTTGAAGTGCTGATTTTGGTTTCGGTTTAGAGAAAAAGACGACACTGTCAACCCAGCGCCCGTTGTATTTCTCCCTCAACGGGTCATTCATCTAGTATTAAACATGTATCTACGTATTTGTGTACGTGTGTGTGTAGCGCTACGCTAAAGCCAAACAATGGAAATCACACAACTACTGCTTTCACACAAGGTACGATTGGTAAAGTCCAGTCAGAGGCGTAGAGAGGGGGGGGGGGGGCGGGGGGGACATATGTCCCCGGTCGCCGACTTTAGGGGGGGGGGGCGCCAAATTGAAAGTTTGAGGGGGGGTGCAAATAAAAAGTTCGAGGGGGGGGGGGTGCAAATCGAAAATTTGCTCCCGAGGGGGGCGCCAAATTGAAAGTATGTCCCCGGGCGCCGGGAAGGGTCTCAACGCCTCTGAGTCCAGTGGTACCTCAACATACGAGATGTTTTTGAGATACGACCTTTGCAGCGAGCTGCATTTTGCTTTGACATTCGAACAAGGTTTGAGATACGAGTAACCTAATTAGCGGGATTAACAATTCCTGGGGGGTAAACACTCAAAAAAGTTGCACTGATTGTGCACTGGTGCTATTTAAAGGCATTTCATAACTCATTTCTGAAACTTCATGAAAGGGAGGTAAAAAAAAAACACCTTCTTGGACAGGTTTATTTTAACAGCCTGCGTGAGGGGGTGGGGAAAGTCAGGAAATCGTGGCGAAAAAATCAAAGACTAGCGAAAATTTAGCGAAATCAACAACACATTGCGTAGTAACATTTCGGTTCAATTATTTTCGATGAAGTTTAAGCTTCGCTAAGTTTGGAGATAATCTGTAATTAGTAAGTGATTTCAAGTTTAGAGATAAAGTGGCACTACAAGGTCTAAAAGAAACAGGGGAACGAACCTTGTTTGACTCTGCTCACATGAACTGCTAGAATAGCGTCCCTTGGAGGAATCATTGCGGCTGTCGAGCTGTCTATACGAATAAAACCTTCACTCACGTATCTTGCCGTCATTTTTTTTAAAAAATTACCCATCTCTGTTCTCCATATGAATTTAGACTAAAAAGAAAATACCCTTCGTTATAAAGTGGCATCCTTAAACAAAGTCATGTGTTCTCCGATTCACCTCTAACCCCTGGCTCACCCCAAACCGTCACACATCATCAGACATCGTGCCACGTCATAACCCCAACGACCGTGATATATAACCAGCGGACGTTCAAGAGTCGTGAAGAAAACTGTCTGTGAAGGTAAGGATATTTGTTACTGTATGACCTTAATTAAACTACGACATATTTAAGATCTTTGAAATACTAATTAACTCAGATAATTAATTAACTCGGTTATTATTTAAAAACAAAAAAGCTTTGTCCTGCACATATATTTATCTGTTCAGCTTCATATTAGACTTAAGTCTTCCTAAACAATAAAAAGATTGTATCGCTTCATTTTAAAGTTGAGCTAATTCGTTTTGATGATTCGGTGGGAGGGTGGTGAATTTTTTCTGTTATGATAATAGAAATAAAAATTAATTCAACAAGAAAGGTCAGTGATAAAGAAGTAATAAATGTAGTTGAAATGGGGGCGCCAATGTTTAAATCCATGTCAGTACATCCACGTTGGTTAAATCAAGTCACAAGAGTTTCTTTCATGCATCTCTTAGAGGGGATTAATCCCCCCTCCCTGAAGAACGTCTATCGCCTATCCACCACCCCCACCCCCACCTTGAGCGAAATATAATTTATATAGAAAATATATACTTTTAACAGTGTCCTTCAATACCCCCCCCCCTTATGTGCCGGATAAAAAGTCTGAAAGAAACACTGAAAGTCACATATCTTGTGGTCGGCGTATAAACTCATTTGCTACATGGAAAGTGCAGCTATCTTTGATTTTAGAAACATGACATACCTTTATTGTATTTTGAATAGGTTGATATTTTTAAAAATACTAGATCTATTGATATTTCAAAATATTCAACAGCTAAGCTGTAACACGTTTTCAAATCGATAACAATGATACAGTATCCTTCAGCTGTTATGTGGCGGGGTTCAATATGGTCTGTGTAGGGTGGGGCAACCATTGCTCTAGCATTCCTTGAAGGTTTTAAAAAAGGTGTTGTCGGTTTTCTTCTTCTTCTTCGTTCTCAATTGATATTTTGATAGGCATTTGAAATTATTATTACTTCTCAACTTGTTATGCGCCATATGGCCATTGAATCCAATTTCAGCCTGCTTTTCGTGTTGGTTCCATACAGTGGCGTAGCGAGGTCGGGTGTCACCCGCCCCCCCCCGTTAGGAAAAAAAATATGTATATATATATATATATATATATATATATATATATATATATATATATATATATATATATATATATCGAAGGCTTGTGTCTTATTGAGCTGTCGCTGCTCCCCCCCCCGGCACTGAAAAATCTGCATACAACCCTGGATGTTGTAACATGAAACATTTTGTCTGTCGTGTGACTTCTTCTTTGTTGTTAGTTACGTATATGAGGGAGGATTTAAACTGTGCTGTGACAGGTTTTGAAAAAATTACATTTGTACCATATTCTCATTACATTTATACCATATTCTCATTACATTTGTACCATATTCTCATTACATGTATGTATTATATTCTCATAACATATGTACCATATTCTCATTACATGTGTACCATAATCTCATTACATGTGTACCATATTCTTATTACATGAGTACCAGATTCTCATTACATGTTTACCATATTCTCATTACATGTGTACCATATTCTCTTTAGAAGTGTAACATATTCTCATTACATGTTTACCATATTCTCATTATATGTGTACCATATTCTCATTACATGTTTACCTTATTCTCATAACATATGTACCATATTCTCATTACATGTTTACCATATTTCCATTACATGTTTACCATATTCTAATTATATGTGTACCATATTCTCATTACATATGTACCATATTCTCATTACATGTTTACCATATTCTCATTACGTGTGTACCATATTCTCATTACATGTTTACCATATTCTCATTACATGTTTACCATATTCTCATTATATGTGTAACATATTCTCATAACATATGTACCATATTCTCATTACATGTGTACCATATTCTCATTACATGTGTACCGTATTTTTACCAGAATACATCAACGTTACCGCTGAATGAATATTGAAACAAAAACTAAATAAAACTCCAATGGCATCCTCACGTTTTACTAAAGAAATGGGCGACTCAGATCTTTTCCTAGGTATGTTCGTGCTACTTTTATAAATCTAGTTGCACAAGTCCATAGTAAAATGCAATTATTTCCATATTTTAAAAATATGTTTAATTTTTCAAAGCTAGAAAAATGTACATTCAAACGGTAAAGCGTATTACATTTCTTACGACGGCTGAAAACATGTCACATTTTCTATACGATTACAAATTGTAAACTATTTTCTAAAGGAACCCACGAGGTACAAGAATGTATTGAAGGCCAAACTGAGGCAGATCTACACACACACGTGGCAAACTGTAAGAAAAATCCTGGCCATACAGGGTTTATTCCTGTAAAAAAGTTTAGAAAAGAACATCTTCCTCCCGGTTACCAGGACAGTGACATCTATGACGTCATCAATGCCTTTCGATGCCTGACTGTACAGATATCCGTTAAGTTTACAAGTCTAAACAGACCAGAATTTGAGTTCGATACTGAAAAACCATATCCTTGCTACAAATATAGAGGCAAAAAGGAATTAAGAAATGGAACTGGGAAAATATGGCGTGTGTACCCAAATCTGAAAGAATTTTGTGGAGACGGAGTTTGTCCATGTCCTGAATGTAAAAAATTGGCTGCACCACACAAAAATTGTCATCAGGTGTGGGTGGTGACAGCCAGACACGTGATCTTTGACTCAACTGAGGCGAGACAGTCCAGCTGTAGGTTGTGGTTTGATGATGATCAAAGTCCAGTGGTTAAGATTTATGGGTTAGAGGCGTGTGGGATATCGTACAGTAACCAAGACTTTAGTAATTTTGTTTGTGTAACCCATGACTTAGATATTGTGGAAAAACTGTTAAACTGTATTAGAAGGTATAAGGAATTGTGGGGTAAAGTACAGAAGAAATACGCGAGTAAAAATGAGGTGGACAAGGTGGCCATTGTAGTGTCACATCCTCATGGTTGTGCTAAGCAGGTCTCTGTAGGTCACTGGGTACACAGGAAGCCAGTAGGAGCGTACACGAGGTACACGTACACAACCTGTACGTGCCCAGGTAGCAGCGGGGCTCCAGTATACAGACTGGGGTGGACTGACCATCCCCACACTGGGGTCAACTCTAAAAACATCAACTACAGCGCTTCGCAAATGGACTACGATTTTAGTTTTACAGGAGAAGATCTGGACCAACTCAGATTGAATGAGTGTGACCCCACGGCCACGTTAGCTTTCTCCAACGATACAATACAATCGATTATGAACTAATAGCTGACAATAATAACATGACTTTACTGCGGTTGTGTTTTGTATTTGTCCATCTGTAATAGAAGGCAGGGCAAAAGTAAAAAATATTGCATACATATCTATTTAGATTGTAGCAGTTTTGGAAATGAAGATCGGTGTAAATATAATTTCATCGTCATTTTTTTTTGTCGGTGCCCCAGACACATGGCGCAGTTGTAGAAAGCTCTTTCCGCTTTTGCCGGTTTCTGGCAATTTTTTTCCAGCCCCCAAGATAGTCCTGTATATGTCCGTTGTTTTCTGCTCTGTGTCTCCACGCTCGATTGACACTACCTGTTTTCTATGTTTTTTTCTTTGAGGCGTCTGATTAAGCGCCATTGTTGTACTTTCATCTGGTTTTATCCTTAATACATCGCCAATCATTTTTCGATTACATCTTATTGGCTTAAATATCTGTTTTTAGTAGCCCACCTTTGGAGAAAGTGTTGGCCAACGAATAACTTATCTTTCGGAGACTCTTAGTTTGGAAGAAATCCAGAATTCAATGCCATACTGAAGAACGCTAATGACATTACTTTTGAAAAGTCTGAATTTGGCCTTGAATGTGAATTTATCATTTTCCATCTTTTTAGTTTGCCTGCAACAGTTTTTTTTTGGTTTATTAATTTTGGTTCCGTCAATATTTAATTTGAGACTTCATCCTTTTAGCAAAAGAATTAATTCTGTGAGTTTTTCGTGTATGTCTTTATGGTTACAAGATAGGTGTGTTAAATCATGTGGCTAGTGGTTTGTCTCTATCTGATGCCTCGCTTTGTCCGTAGTTTGTGTCATCATCCAATCAATTACTAGGTTAAAAGCAGTAGGGGCAGAACAGTCTTGTTTGACACCTGTAGGAACTATAAATGGGCCAGTACTATGGCAACCACATAGAACTATGCATTGGAGCCCTTCAAATATGATTTTGATGGCATGTATGATTTTTCTCTGAAATACCTTGTAAGATTTTCTTGAGGCTATTTCTGCCTGAGCTATCAAAAACGTTCACATAATCTATGAATAGTACATAGAGGGACCATTCCATTCAGATTTTTTCACTAGTATTCGTCTCAAAGTAACTACCGGTCATTGCATGATTAGCCTTTCATAAATCCAGCTTGTTAATTCCTCATTTTGTCTTCTGCAACTCTGCCTAGAATGTTTATCTAGAATGTATTACTGATTAGTGGTAGTAGTTTGGTGCCTCACCAGTTTTCAAATGTTCATGTCTTTGTTGTTAGCAGTTTTTCTTTCTTTGGAGCCATTTTTACTGTTAAAGACTTTTTTTGCAAAAATTACAAATGGTGTGTATTCCTGCATATATACTGATTGTGCTTTTCTTGATTTGAGTTTCAGTATAGCTGCTTGCACATCCAATACTTGTATGTGTCTAGTGTGTGTGTGGCCTAGTTATATGTGACTTGCTGGTGTGTCAATATGTTAAGATGGTGGCGGTCTGTTAATTCGCTTAGAATTAGAAATATAGTAAACATTTTATCAACTGTTTGATAAAATGTCATTGTTTTATTGAATTACCAGTCGTAATTGATGTATCAAAGAAGTAAAAAATCCAAACATATATTTATAACAGAAAGGCAGACCCCAAATATTATATTATTCTTTTTTACATCTTTGATCTTACATAATGCAAATATTTGAAGATCGTATGTTGCTCCTAGATAAACTGTAATTAACCCTTCTAAAATGCTATTGTAATAACTTGCACTTCTCGAGAGGCATATTTTGATTCTATAATGATTTTATGAACAGAAGTTCAGTTCCATTTCTAAAATAATTAATAATTTATTAGTAAGTCTGTAGTTTTATTTGACAAAATAAACATTTGTTTTATTTACTTTCTTTTTAGTTTAACGTATATTAAGTATTTATAAAGGTAGCTATTGGTGTACAGTATAGTATGGCCTATATCTTTTTAATACTACCTAAGCAGGTTGATGGTTACCCACTGACATATGGGAGGGGAGTGAGAGGAACACAGTAACAGACACAATCGATATGAACACATTAATGCTAACCAAGCACGCTGTCAAGCGTGTAAATCGTTTGTTCAGTTTTCAGGCGAGTGTCGTCAAATGTAGAACATCGGCATCTATTTCAAGCGATTGTGTAACACTTCAACCAAACAAATATAGACAGGTTACACACTAGCCATAATACAATCTACTCTATTATATAGTATATATAACACTTTTATGATGAAGGTAAATTTCGATCAGACACTCATTCACGAAGTGACAATTACATGATGTAAACATAAATAAATATATATATAAATGTAACCATAGCATTGTCCGCGACGTTACTAATGTGAAAAAAAACTTAAAGTGCGGCAATAGTAAATAAAAAATAATAATAAATTTTAAAAATGTCCAGTCTAATTTCCAAGATTAAGCCGAAAATTAATATGTAGGATTGACGAAAAGATAAAACTGACGCCAACCTAAAAATATGATTACTCATTAATACCCAAAAACATCCTAAATTAAATAAATTTATCAAATGGAAATATCTCTACCCAAACATAAGCTTTATTTACAACATGATAAAAATTCATAAATAAATTTCTGGTGTGTAATTCCTAAAAAATATATAATGTATTTTAATATTTACTTGCTTCAAAAACTATTTTAACGCCTTCCTAAGTAACAAGCTTTCATGCTTTATTCTTTAAGTCTACAGCTAACATCATTTTAAATTATTTTATTTAATCTTTTTCAAACCTCAAATCAGAAGGGAAAAAAGCATTCTACCACATATAAATCATAAAATTATATAATACGCGAAAATAACGTGTCAGAAAATCAGGAAGTGTGTCTGCTAGATCGTTGATGGAGAGTTATCTAAAAATAATTTAAAATGGAATAATACGATTGGTTGTCTATTAATATATAGTCAGCCACGTCATAACCTCAACCACCTAGCTGTAGACCCAGCAACAGTTGAGCTGTTGTAAACAAATCAGTCTTTGGTGGCTTCGATGCTTGTTGCTGTAAGTATTACATTAATATTACTTTAACATAGAGTTAAAATATAATTATACCGATAACTCTATTCATAAACCAGAAACGCGTATCCTTCATAACGATACAGCTCCAATGTGGCCTTACCTTAATGTTTCCTAAATGTTAAATCATTGTAGTGACACACTGACATTCCGTCAGTGCAGTGGAGCGTGTCACATGATATATCAACGCGAGAACGAACTGGTAACAAAACACTAGATACAGGCTCGGTCTATGTAACAAGAAAATAGACTCTAATAAACACAGTCCACAACAGTCATTCACAACAGTGCACTAACTTATAACATGTAAACATTTCGTTTGTCTACGTGCTTAGTTTGAAAAACAATATATATAAATATATATATATATATATATATATATATATATATATATATATATATATATATATATCTTGGCCAGAATACCACAACTTTACCGCTAAGGAAAATTACTCTAAACAAAACTAAGTAAAACTTCAATGGCAGCTGCAAGTTTACCTAAAGAAACGGATGATGCGGATCTCTTCCGAGGTATTTTTCTACGATTTTTAGAAAGTCATTAGCATTCGGCAATAATAGAATTTAACGGTTTCAATTATTTACACTGTATTTTGTGCTAGAATAATGGGCATTCTAATATTAATTAAGCATTATTTCGTTAATTTATAATGGCTTATGCGAAATCATAATTTGCTTTAACTCAGAACAACCTAAACATTTTCTATAGGGTACAATTTTAAAAAATATATACTTTTAATAGGAACCCATGAGGTACAAGAATGTCTTGAAGGCCAAACTGAGGCAGATCTACACACACACGTGACAAACTGTAAGAAAAATCCTGACCATACAGGGTTTATTCCTGTAAAAAAGTTTAGAAAAGAACATCTTCCTCCCGGTTACCAGGACAGTGACATCTATGACGTCATCAATGCCTTTAGTTACCTGACTGTCAGGATAGCCGTTAACTTTACAAGCACGGACAGGCCGAATTGTGTGTTGGGTACTGGAGATCCATATCCTTTCCACAATACCAGGGGAAAGAACGTATTAAGAACTGGGACTGGGAAAATATGGTGCGTGAGCTCAAACCTGGTAGAATTCTGTGCAGACCATACTTGTCCATGTCCTGAATGTGAAAATTCGGCTAAACCACAGAAAGAATGGGTTCTGCTTTGGATGTCGACAGCCAGACACGTGATCTTTGACTCAACTGAGGCGAGACAGTCCACATGTAGGTTGTGGTTTGATGATGACCAAAGTCCAGTGGTCAACATTTACGGATGGAAGGCATGTGGGATATCATTTACTGACCAAGACTGGTGTACTTTGGTTTGTGTAACACATGAAATTGAAATCGGTGAAAAACTGTTAAACTGTATTAGAAGGTTTGATGAATTGTGGGGTAAAGTAAAGAAGAAATACGGGAGTAAGAATGAGGTGGACAAGTTGGCAATTATAGTGTCACATCCTCATGGCTGTTCTAAGCAGGTCTCTGTAGGTCACTGGGTACACAGAAAAGATGTACCTAGATCTCTCGGGTACACCAGGTACACGTACACAACTTGTACATGCCCTGGTAGCAGTGGGGCTCCCGTATACAGGCTGGGGTGGAGTGACCATCCCCACACAGGGGTCAACTCTAAAAACATTAACTACAGCGCTGCGAAAAAGGACATGGATTTTAGTTTTATTGGAGAAGATCTTCATCAGCTGTGGTTGAGTGAGGGTGATAACTCGACTAGCAGTGTGGCGTTAGCTTTGACTAACTATGTAATAAAAGAGTCGATTATAAAATAATAACTAGCAATAGCAGCATGAAATCGCTGGGTAGCGTTTTAGTATTATTCCATCTCTTAAGACAGGTCAAATGTAATAGACACACCTGTCTAACTTGTAGCAAGTTTCCAAAACATACTACTTTTCGACATGTGTTTTCAAAGTTTTGGTTCAGCTAATATTCATGACTGATTAGACGTAGACAATCGCTAGGATATAATGTTTCAATATCCCATATCCCATTTTACGAATTTTAAAATTCGACGTGATGGTTAACTTATATAAAACATAGATATGACAGAAACATGACATAGTTCTTGTTCCCATGTGTGTACCAAGACATTTGTAAACAAACCCCCACATATATGCATTTCTTTAATTAAACATTCTGTGTGACAAATGCATCAGCAACAATGTTCATTTAAAAGTAATATCAGTTTATAAGTAGCCTTCACTCATTACTTATGCTTGCAGTTTTTATTTGTAAAACTCTTATTAATTATATTAAATAGTTTGCAGTTACCTATGTTTTCAAACGAAATTTCGTTTTTATTTACATTGTTTAATTAACTGATTATATTGTAGGACTTTCAAATGGTTTGTGTGTAGAGTTGGTTGAATCTCGACAAGTACCAACTATAACAACACTTAGAGAATATCAAATGATCATACTCAATGAGTGATTGTGGTAGAAATCAGCTTTTATAATGTGTAGTCCATTTATTTCAACACACAAGTGTCCTAAACAAATCAAGTGAATGTCACGACCTCACATCACTCTCTTTCCCCATACCAACTAAATTTCACGCTTTTCTTTATAGTTATTTAAATAGTAGTCTATAATTTATTTTCTACTTTTTAGTGCATTATTACATAAAAGCTTGTTATTAAAACGTTTATAATAAAATGTTTTAGTACTTAACATGTTTTTATTTACAATAGAGTTACATGACTAAAAAACATTGCGCAGCTATTGAACGTGATGACGCTCTTTTGTCGTGATGACGCGTGTGGATAGAACAGCCTACTAATTTGATCAAAATTTTAATTAATTCATAAAAAATTAATCAGGAGACCAATTAATTCAAATTTTTATATCACGATGCATTGTCTTCATGTCTTGACCCAAGTATCAATTACGAACCGTATCTGTCAGTTAGAAGTGCCTGCAATTTTGCTCGACCGTTTCGATCTAGACAGATAGACTGACGACAGACAGAAGAAGCGAAGCGAGTTAAATAAAAGCTTGTAAAAAATTAATACAAAACGTTTTAATAACAAGCGTTTATGTAATAATGCACTAAAAAGTAGAAAATAAATTATACACTACAATTTAAATTACTATAAAGAAAAGCGTGGGCCACTTTAGTATTTATTGGATACCTTTACTAATATTTAGGAAGAGACCCACGCTTTTCTTTATAGTAATTTAAATAGTTGTGTATAATTTATGTTCTACTTTTTAGTGCATTATAACATAAAAAATCATTAAAAAACGTTTTAATAACAAGCTTTTATGCGCGCCTATTGAATGTGATGACGAGCTATTCAACGTGATAAAGCATGTGGAGTAGTTGTATAGAACTGCCTCCTAATTTGGTCAAAATTTTAATTAATGCATAAAAAATTAAGTAATTATCCAATTAAGTCAAATTTAATGTCATGATTACAAACCGTATATGTCAGTTAGAAGTGCCTGCATTTGTCGACACCTGATATATACTGAATCAGTCACCCTTCATAGCATGTGCTTATTCAGACATCAGGAAAAATTATATCCCCACCACTATGATAAAAAATATTTTTAAACAATAAGATGACCCACTGATTTCTACTCCGTCCCGCCCCACCCCCCCCCCCCCCCACCCCTCTTGCAGGGTAGGCTATTTATTCCCAACTCTCTCCATTCCAGACTTGAAATCATTAATAATTTTCAGAAATTGAGCTCATGCTTTGTAAAAATCCTGAATAGTATGTACACATCTTTAAAGTGAAAGAAATGGCTATCGATGTAAACCTGTAACAGTCTTCATATATCGAGCATAGCAATGCACCAGTGGAAGACATCGGGGCAAGGATAATTTAAGCCGCCAATATTACACGTCTGAGACATGTCAATAATATATAAAGTTAAAATGGAGCCTGTTTATCTGGGATTTTTTTTGTTTGTTGGCGGACGGATAAATATGTTTGTGAATAAAATGCATATGGTTGAAAACTCGATCAGATCGCCATTGTGTAACATTTTTTAAAAGTGTTACTTTTTTGCTAGAATCTGAATAGATGTTTAGAAAACTCAATATTGATAGTTTTTAAACTAAATTTTTATTTTACAACTTAATTGATGCAATGTGCAAAGAACAAAACGCGTTCATGTTTGCGTTTATTTTTGCTGTCATTTCCTGTCATTTTTGTGTATGATTACAACACTTTCTCTATACTTCGTATATGAGAAAACAATAACGCCTTCAAATTTTATAAATCTTTGCCATAAATGTTACGAAATATACGATTTTTTAAGTTACTTGAGTCATTTTAAAATAAAAAATGTACAAAGTCATACTTTTTTACTTTCTCGTATATAAGAAATATAGAGAAAGTATTGTAATCGTGAAAAAAAAATCGAGATTTTTACAAATCTCGACGTTTTACACCTCACTGATACGGAAAAACATAATTTTGCAATCTTGTCCGTATGTCTGTGTGTCTGTGTGTGTCTTTGTGTCTGTGTGTCTGTGTGTAAACACGATTACTTGAGTACCGTTACACCTAGGTTTATGAAATTTCTTATATAAGTATTTTATCAAAATCGTAGATCCGTATCAACTTTTGAGCGATTTCCGATAACCGGAAGTGGTACTTTTCTACTTTGAATTTTTCAAAAGCCTATAACTTGAGTACTATTTCAGATAGATAATTGAAATTTCACACGTAAGTAAAAGATCTAATTCTGTCAAATTTTGAGTAATTTTCGTTGATCGGAAGTACTAATTTAAGCTATTTTCGATTTCTCAAAAAACGCACGTAAATTTATAAAGTACTAATAATATCCCGCACTATTATGCACATTTTATTAGGCGTTCATTTAGTGTGCTATTCTTTTTTTACGAGATTCCATTCTATTATAAAAAGTTTAAGTAATTATAAATGGATTACAAATATTGTCTATGTCCTGAGTTGCCATCCCTCGTAGTTTTATATTAGAATATCCGAGAAAGTTTAGGGGAGATCACTCCCGGTTTATGTGCGTTTGTGTTTAGATTTTCACAAACGTCCATATTTACATACCGACCTTTAATTGAAAATTGTGTAAAATTCCAATCACCGGGCAGCGCAGAGTATATGAAGCTTAATGAACACATAAATCACGTACCTTACAAATAACATTTACCTCAAATGCCAGCTCAAGCAACTTTTCTATATATTTCACGATCCAACCCATTCTTACATATCCGATCTATTTCCTTACAACACAAAATTCAATCGTCGTCTTAGTAACTTAGTTTACCCATCCATTATGCAACTTTTTTACAATGACAATTTGTGGAACAATTTTCCTTCTAAAATAAAATTAAATCAGAGTATCTGAAAATTTATTTCGCATGATTTTTTATTTATCTATTATACTTTCATTCTTTTCAACTATGTCATATAAATGTGTAATATTTTTTCTTTATTCCATATGTTACTGATATGTCTTTACTATTTTATGTAAATATCGTTGATAGTTGTTTTTTCTTTAATAGCGGCCAATAAGTAATGAAAGTCTCCATGCCTACTGATGTAACTGTTTCAAAATAAAGTTTATTATTATTAATTTATTATTATGTTGACCAGTACGTTAACACCAGCGAGGAACATATTTGACCAACAAAGTTAACTAAGTCTTTATTATTTTATACTTTTTCATATTATACTTTTTTATAGTATACTTTTATATTAGGCTATATTTTATTGTATATATATTGTTATATTATGTATATATATTATTTTTTTTTTACTTTAACTCAACCTATTTTTTTCTTATTAGATTTGTATGTTCTTAGAAGAATATTTAAAATAAATATAGAAATTCTGTTTTGTATTCATCGTCAACAGAGAAGAATAATATAGGTCTATTTATACTTTTTTAAATTTCAAGACAGTTTTTCACGACAACAGGAAAATTAAAAGTTATTAAATTAAAATTACTCTTGAAATATCGCGTTGTAAGTTCTAATATAATAGTTTTTCTTAAAGTTGATTCTCACAGTTTTTAGTTTTTCGCCGATTTGCTGAATGCCATCACAATTAATAACCGCATGAACGAATTCAGGAGTATTTTAAAACAATTTTATTAAACAAATCTCACAGAAGAAAACAAGTTCAAATTGACAGTACATTTTTTTCACGCCATTTGGCTTTCATCCAATGTGTCGTCAGCCATTTAACATGTGTGGGGAATTTTATTTTTTATTGAATTTATTTTTTATTGATTTTAATTTTTTATTGATTTTATTTTTTATTGATTTTATTTTTATTTTTATTTTATTTGTCGCGCAAGAATTGAAACTGAAAACACTTTTACTTTCTGTTTTTTTTTTCTTAGAACCAATTGGAATATGGTCTATGTCTTTCGGTCAACCCCCCCCCCCTCCTCCCACCTCCACCCCAACCCCTTCTCTTCCCCTCCTTTACTGACCCACGAAATAAATGGCTGTAAACATTTTGAAAGTCTTCAAAACATTTTTAATTCTTAAAAGTGTTACGGGATATTTTTAAATTGGCCCTATAATTATTTATAAAAGTAAAGATTCCTCTCTAGACCTAACGATCCATTGGGCAGATGAATTAGAGTTCATATTATTATGTTTCTTGAATGTTTTTTAGCATGCGTTTTAAATATATATTCAAACTCAGTACTGACATGCAGTCTATCTGGGTTCGTGATACAAGTGATACAAGTGAAACAAGCTGCAAGTGTAATGTATATCAACGACGGTAATTTGTTGTTTAGGTTGAACTGCTAAGAAACAAAATATACTTTTAATAAACTATTTATTACATTTTTATGTCTTCTCAAGCTGTGATCCCTTTCATTTAAATCTATTGGCACCATAAGGGTAAATGTTACGATGCATTTTCAACTTCATATCATAGAGTTCAATGTTTAAGTTAAAATTGTTTTGCATGTCACTTGTAGTGTCTTTTTAAACGTAATTTTTTTTATATCTAAACCTTGTAAGATAATGGTTTTAATTGGTACCTGGGTACTAGGTGCCACCAAAACACTTACTAGGAAGTCAGCTAAAAATAGCACAGATTGATCGGAATGATTGGTTGTTAGGTTGTAGTTTACGGCTCGTACCGCGTGATAGGCCTAACAACTGTACAGTGACGTCTGGTCACATCTCAGAACAGCAGACGTGTAATCGTGGGGATTCAATTTGAAGGTAAGAACATTATTATTAGCTCTGTCTTATCTTAGGTATAGGAAAATGTCATTTTATTTACATGTCTTTATGTTTATTGGCCAGAGCAAAAACAATACCTTACATACCGTGTTAAATCAAGTAGCGATTACTCTAGATTTCAAGCCAGGGGTTGTTATAAATCACTCACATTTGAAAAACTGGCATTTAGAAAAACAGGTGCAGATTTTTTTAGACTAATAAACAGATGTGTCTAAATATAATGTGTCTATGTTTTCACCCCTCTTCCTCGTGTAGCACAATATAGTAACATTCATGCAACCAGACAACCGTTACCTCTCTCATGGTATTTAATCATAAATGGCCACGAATCTTATTGCTAAAAACAACATAGCGAATATCCCGAATGCTGATTCCAAGCCGACCATGCAAACAGGCTGCTTTATTGTTAACAATAAATTTACACTCACATTATAAGCTTCGAACAAACTACTCTAATATAACAATGGCATGTCATGTTTACAGTTACAAGTCATAATGGCCAAGAGCAATGTACTCTTGAATCAGGAAAACAAAATCACCAAGTGTGCTGGGGATGATGAAATACCAGCAGACAGGAAGACATGTACAAGTATGTTACTTGAGTGTATTGTTGGTAAAAATACAGAAATATATTTACTATAGCTATAAGGATATTCCATTTTAAGATTAGAGTTATTGAATTCTACAAGAAGCAGGTCAACGGAATGTGCTGGACCTAAACCAGTGGCGTAACTAGAAAAAATGGGCCACCCCGCAAAAAAAAATTTTTGGGCCCCTTATATATATATATATATATATATATATATATATATATATATATATATATATAGAGAGAGAGAGAGAGAGAGAGAGAGAGAGAGAGAGAGAGAGAGAAATATAGAAATATAGAAATATAGAAATATATATATATATATATATTTATATATATATATATATATATATATATATATATATATATATATATATATATATATATATATGTATAAACACACAATACGAACATAGGATACTCATTTCTGGCCTGATCGGCTGGGGATGATGAAATACCAGCAGGCAGGAAGATATGTACAGGTAACCTACGTATTTTACTTAAGTATATTCTTATGTAACAGTAAGGTGGATGGCACTTTCATGAAATTCTGATATAGAAATATTTTTATTTGTTTTCCTTTATTAAACTTGCATTTGCACTCACTCGTATACGGAGTATAGAGAAATTAATTGTAATCGTCCAAAAAAAAAAAGAAATCGAGATTTTTACATTTTAGACCTTCTTGAGTCAGTAAAACTTAATTTAGCAATCGTGTATGTATGTCTGTGTAACGCCCTATGTGACATTTATATGAAGGCCGTTAATGTAGCGTGTTTGTCAAGGAGGTACTAGAAACGAAATAGGTCTAAGTACTGTGTGTCCAGCACAGGGACGGCAATCAGCTGTGTAACAGGACTTGTTAGTCACTCTTGCTTTAGCATATTTTAGAGCTAGGCACTAGGTAGGCTTACTCTCTGTCTGGAAACCAACATTTTTAAAAATTTCTCACAGAGACCGTCAATGACAAGAATCCGGACACACGAGTCACTGGAATGGAACCTGCGATACCAGAAGACGTCTCACAGTACTTTATCGGTAGGTTTCATGGTGATAAACAATATCATGTTTTTATTGCTAAAAATATATATTGTAATTTTTATCATAAAATATATTTTATTTTTTAAAAAATGTCAACAGGAAAGCATGAGGTACAAGAATGTCTTAAAGGGCAAAGTGAGTCAGATCTACACACACACAAGATAAACTGTAAGAAAAATCCTGGCCATACAGGGTTTATTCCTGCAAAAAAGTTTAGAAAAGAACATCTTCCTCCCGGTTACCAGGACAGTGACGTTTATGACGTAGTTAATGGTGAAATGTATGTGACAGTAAGGATAACCGTAAAGTTCACCAGTCCACACAGACCAAAGTTTGTAGTAGGTACTCAAGACCCATATCCTTGCTACAGCAGCAGAGGGAAAAGATTACTGAGGACAGGGACTGGAAAAGTAGATAGTGTTTACTACGATAAAGAAGGAGTTAACAAATGCCCATGTCCTGAATGTGAAACCTCGATCAAACCAAAAAAAAAATTTGCCCACATTCGTGTACTAACTGCCAGACATGTAATATATGATTCAAGTGAGGCGAGCCGGGCCAGCTGTAGGTTGTGGTTTGATGATGACCAAAGTCCAGTAGTCAACATTTATGGGTGGAAGGCGCATGGCTCCTCCCCTACTGACCAAGATTGGACTATCTTGGTTTGTTTGACTCATGACTTAGAAATACCTGAAAAACTTTTAAATGTGATTAGGAGATTTAGAGATGTGTGGCTTAAAGCAAACGAAAAATATGAAAGTCGTGTTGAGGTGGACAAGCTGGCAATCATAGTGTCACATCCTCATGGCTGTTCTAAGCAGGTCTCTGTAGGTCGCTGGGTACACAGACAAGAGATTGGTAGATACTCGAGATACACGTACACAGCGTGTACATGCCCTGGGAGCAGTGGCGCACCAGTCTACAAGCTAGGGCGGACTGACCATCCCCACAGTGGGGCCCATGCCAGTGGATCTAACTACAGTACAGCTATGATTGACATGGATTATAGCTGTGGGGGAGAGGATCTAAACGAAAAGCGAATGAGGGAGCACAAAGCTTCAATGGATGGCTTCCTCCCATATTAGGCCATTTTACAGTCAAGGCATATTTTTTTTAAACTTTAGAAACAACTTATTATGGCACCTAAAAAAAGGTTTAGTCATATAATTGAATTAACTGAATAATTATAATAACACCTGATAGTTGTAACAAAACAAGACATAGTCCAAGCCATATATACTGAGCTTTATTTTCTTGTATACAGAGTAGGCCTATAGAGAAAGATTTTAATCGTGCTGAACAATGAATGAAATTTTAATCGTTTTCGCCATTTCACACCATTGTAATCATCCAGAAATCTCAATAGATATCTTAACAAATATTGACGTTTTATAACGTTACGGAGCCGGAAAAAAATTAGTTTCACCATCCTGTCCGTCTGGTTGTGTCTGTAAACAAGATAACTTGACTACCGTGTCAATTAATTGTGTTGACCATATTTCTTATATAAATATTATAACAAATTTGTAGTTTTCTATCAACTTTTGACCGATTTCTGTTAAAAAGAAGTGATACGTACTGTACTTCCGACTCAAAAGTTGATAACTAGAGAACCATTAAAGCAAGATAGATTTTTTAAATTTTAAATATATACGTTAGATTGTATGCAAAAGTTCCTTTCAACTTTTGTACGACTGCATGTACCCGAAAGTGGCACTTTGCTACAGTGGCGTCGCTAGGTTCGGTGTCGACCTCTCCCCCCCCCCTCACAAGAAAGAAAGTTTATATATATATATATATATATATATATATATATATATATATATATATATATATATATATATATATATATATATATATATATATGTGTGTGTGTGTGTGTGTGTGTGTGTGTGTGTGTGTGTGTGTGTGTGTGTGTGTGAGAGAGAGAGAGTTTGTGTTTGTGTCGGTCTACATAGGCCTATAATTTAAATATATGCCGCATACGCGTACATGTATGTACATATGTATTTTCGCCTTGGTGTCACCCCCTAAATGGTGCTGTCACCCGGTGCTATCCGCACCCCCGCCTCGCCCTCGCTACGCCTCTTCATTGGTCTATTTCTTTGAGAACACGATAACTTGAATACTGCTTTAGTTAGGTAACGAAATTTTACACTTGGATTACTCTCAAACTTTTAGCGGCCTCCGATTTCATGAATTGGTACTTAAAACTCTGTTTTGGTTTCTAAAATACAGATATCATGAGTACCCTTTAAGTTGGATGAAGGAAATTTTATAAATAAATGTGTATAAGATCATATTTTCTCTTGATTGTGTAAAATTTCGAATGATTACCAATGACCGAAAGTAGTACTTTACAGGATTTCCTATTTCTCAGGGGCGGAACTACAGTGCCGTCAGATCCCGTAATGCGGACGGGGGGGGGGGGGGGGCATGCCATTTAGGAGCCCACGGCCGACCATAATATTTTTTTTATAGTTACAAAAAAATTATGTTCTTGCATTTTTGACTTCATGGTTGTTTTGTAAGAAGATTGTGGTTGGTTTACGTTTATTCTATTGACACCACCCCACGCACTTGTATATTCTTTTTCCCTTTTTTTTAAACGACTGTGAAAGCCGAGTCCTCTTTCTCTTACAATCAAACTTATCGTTATTATCAAAGATAAGCAAACGTTCAAACCACTTCCATGACTTATTTCCCTTTCTAAATAGTTAAATAGGGGTGCTCATAAGCTCCTTTTAATAGATTTGTACTAAACACAAATTAAAAAAAGCAATTTCTTCTTATTTTTTAATAAAAATACTTATTAAAGAATGGCATTGTACAAAAAGGAAACTATTTAAAATTAATAATATAAATTTAAAAAAAACATAAAAATAAACATAACACGAGACACCTTTATTTATACAAAGCTTTCATGTTTTTTATTCTTTTGACCGACTAGATGTTAAGAGGCCTAATATAGCAGAGATAAAATTAAACTGATTTTCACTAAACACAATAATGCACTTACAAACATGACAAGATGTTGTAATTTGTATTAATTGAAAAACAAACATTGTTTTTTTTGTTTTGTTTTTCAAATTCCGAACGAACAGGCCAGCATTGAGTATTCTATGTTCGTATTTTGTGTTTATATATATATATATATATATATATATATATATATATATATATATATATATGTGTGTGTGTGTGTTTTGCAAAAAAAACTAACTGATCTACAACAGTCGTGATGTTCTACAGAAGCTAACACACGCTATTGCGTAAAAGAAAAAATATATATACATGAGTTGTAGTGTGAAAGATAGGCAAACGTTCATAACACTTCCATGACTTATTTCCCTTTTTAAATAGTCAAATATATGTGCTCTTTAGCACCTTTTAATAGATTTTCACTAAACAAAGTAAAAAGCAATTACTTCTCTAAATTATTACTTTTTAAAATACATTATAAAGAACAACATAGTATAAAAAGGAAATGTATTTAAAACTAATAATATAAATAAAATAAAAAAAACATAAATATAAACATAACGCGAGAAGCCATTTCACGCACAAAGCTTTCATGCTTTTGACCAATTTACTTATAGGAAACGTTATGGCAGACATATATTGTAACAGAGATTTTTCAAAACAGACTAGTGGCACTCATACAAATGTTGTGTTGTTGTAACTTGTTTTAATAAAAATAAAAAAAACTAAGAATTTTTTTTTCAAAATTCGAACAAGCCCGAAATGAGTATTCTATGTTCGTTTATATATATATATATATATATATATATATATATATATATATATATATATATATATATATATATATATATATATATATATATATATATATGTATATATATATATATAGAGGCCTATATGGGGCCCAAAATATTTTTTTCCGGGTGTTTCTTTTTTTCTAGTTCCGCTACTGCATCAGTTGCGCCAGCCCCTCCACGTCTCCATTGCCACTAACTGTTTCCCATTTCTTTGAGGCGTCAATTTAAGCGTTATTGTTGTACTTTGCGTGTTACATCTTATAGGCTTAAATAACTATCTTTGGAGAAAGTGTTGGCCAACGAATAACTCATCTTTCGGAGACTTTTAGTTTGGAAGAAATCCAGAATTCAATGCCATACAGAAGAACGCTAGTGACATTACTTTTGAGAAGTCTGAGTTTGGCTTTGAATGTGATTTTTATCGTTTTCCATCTTTTTTGGCTGCCTGCTAAAGTTTGCTTCAGTTTATTAATTTTGGTTCCGTCAATATTTAATTTGAGACTTCATCCTATTAGCAAAAGAATGAATTCTGTGAGTTTTTCGTGCATGTCTTTATGGTTACAAGGTAGTAGTGTTAAATCATCTGGCTAGCTGTTAGTGTCCATCTGATGCCTCGTTTTATCTGTAGTTTTTCTCCATCTGATGCCTAGCTTTGTCTCTAGTTTGTGTCATCAGCCAATCAATTACTAGGTTAAAAAGCCGCGAGAACAGAACAAACCTTTGCTTGACTCCGCTCTGAACAATCAAAGGGTCAGTGATATGGCTACCACATATAATTTTGCATTGGAGCCCTTCATATATGATTCTGATAGCTTTTATGATTTCTTGGGAAAACTGTGAAACAGTAAGATTTTTTGAGACTTTTCTGTCTTTTTACTACCAGCTGAGAAGGTTTATGGTCACATACTTACATGTGGGGGGGGGGGGGGGGGCTGAAAGTAACACCGTAACAAGCACACTCAATGGGTACAGATTTATTTCAACCACAAACGCAGTCAAGCGTGTAAATCGTTTGTTAAGTTTTCAGGCGAGTGTCGTCACTTGTGGAACATCGGCATCTATTTCAAGCAATTGTGTAACACTTCAACCAAACAAAAATAGGTTATACACTAGCCATAATACAATCTACTCTATTCTATACAACATTGTTATGCTTCAGTTATGTGACAAATTTCAATCAGAAACCTACACATTCACGAAGTGACCGTCACATTGTCTTAAACATAAATATACAGGTATATATATAAATATATCCATAATATACGTTGTCTGCAACGTAACTCATGTAAAAAACTTAATGTACAGTAATAGTGAATAGTTTACATATTTTAAATTTCCTGTTTACTTATCACGAAAATTAACTATCTTGGATTAACAACAATGTCAAAGTGTGACATTATTATTATATTAAAACAACAACCGCCAAAAATAAAACCTAGTAAACCAGAAAGATTAAAAATCAGGGTATCTAACAACAACTAAAAGAAATTTCGGAATATTCTGTATTCTCCACATTTTCTAAGCTGATCCAGATTGCGGAGGTATATTCAGGTGTTTTTTTAATTTAACTGACAAGGTCTCTTCAAAAGGTTGCCCACAGTCTGGATTGGCAACATCCACATCATCGTATGTCTGTTATAAGAGTTTTAAAAAAGAAAATAAGTATATTATAATCTCAGTTAACAGTTGTACACCAAATTGATTTTCTATATTTTTGGGTGAAACAAGGTGTCTGGATCATTTCGAGTAATGTTGCTTTTCAGATTTCGATACAGGAGTGTGAATGTACATAATAAGTGTCAATCCCACGATATATATATATATATATATATATATATATATATATATATATATATATATATATATATATATATATATATATATGTACAGATATAGATATTTATTTATTCTTAATATATATATAAGGTTAAATTTTTCCACTGCTGTTAAAATAATAGTATATACGAAAAAAATTGAAACCTGATTTTCTTCATTTAGAAAATTGCATAGTTTCTCCCTTGCTTCTTGTTCTAAAAAAAAGTAGCAAATATTATTTTAAAAGTTAACTGTCCAAAGGAATATTTTATATTTACTAAATTAAATAATAATCACTTAATAACTTTATCCATAACTTACCATCACATGATAGCCGTAACTAGCTGCTTTGAACTCTCTAACATAACCTATTACTATATGAAGTCTAAATCACATCAATCTTAACTAATTAATGTTGCTGTGCGACCTGAAAAGTGTTAATTAAAGCACAACTGAATTAAATTTACCTTTTAGAGTATCATCAAATAAACTATCCTGAATGTTTTCAATGGACGTTTGTAAGCTGTCATATTCCACAGAGTCATACAGATTAATGACACATTTTATAAACTGTCTAGGCATCTTTAAGGCACGTAATGTCTGAAAATTGAAGAAAATAAAATAAATTTCCAGAATTTAAGTTACAATGATTTATTTACTCCCGCTCTTTGTCCAGATTTTCCACAAACGATCAATCTTAAAAATGACACCAATTTTATACATTATACAATGTTTTCTTAGTTACCGTTTAAAAATATTATTTTTTAATAATTATTTTATATTAATTTTATTATTACCTGGATAATATTATATAAAGCACATATTTAGAGTATCAGCGAGGAACAGATAAAATAGTTGCACTTTTTGTCATTAACTAAGTATTATACTGCTAGCAGTGAGTTGATCAATTCCCCATACAAACCATATATGCATGTTGGTAAGAAACATCTAACTATAATATATTTACCTTTAAAAAATTGTCTTTCTCTTCATCTACTTGAAATTCTGTTCCTAAGCAAAACTTGATAATGTTGTAAATAGCATCTTTAAAGATTTTAGCTGTCTCTTGATTGCATATAATTTTCCTTACAGGTCCAAAATCATTAATACAGAATGACGTAGATCTTTGTTCAAAAACAATTGCATCATCTGTAAAATAGGATAATTTATTTTTTTTAAAATATCCCTTAATTTGCAATACTGTAGCTCTTATTTGTTGACAAAATTATGTTACGGATGTTCACTTACGTTTAATAGTAGTATACAAGTATCCCTTTCTAACAAATGTTTGATGTAAACAAAGCAAATCAAACAATAGCACACAAGCAAAGAGTCCGTATATATTGTTTCCATCTTTAGCAATTGCTTCCTTTACTTCTAAAAGTTTTATGCCTAAAAGACAGAAAATTAAAAATGCTTCAATTTGCATAACGGTTCCTCGCATACATTTCAATTGTTCTGTTTGAGTTTTTTAACTAAATAACTAGCTGCAAATGCAGATATAAAGTTAACGAATTTGAAGGGTTTTGAGCAACTAGAAATGAAATATCATGGGAATCGATCAAAAGTTGATTACAGAATCTAAAACTTATACATAATATATTTGCTGTGATGTCGTGAAATTTTATTTTTGCACCTTGAGAATATGTACTATAGTTTTAATGATAGAGATATATTTCTGGGTTAGGTTGTTAGTTTTTTCATATGATAATTTTGTTGCTTATTTCCAGATTATCTGTCGTTTGCCTAGTTATCGTTGTGCATTTAGTTAGAGTACAGTTTTTGTAGGATCAATATTTTTTTTAAAATTAAAGCATTTAAGTTTTCAAGCTTCATTCATTCAATTATCAATCAATTGATGGGGTTGTTAAGGTTATTCAAAAGTTGTACGGACGTGACTGCCCAGATAAATTGTAATAACCACCTCAGTAAGACTTAAATATGAAATATTCTATAACAGAGAGAGAGAGAGAGACAGACAGACAGACAGACACAAACACACACGATTACAAAAAATCAGTAGACTGTCCCTGAGTTCACCCAGCTTGTATGGGTACCTAACTCACATTAGGTAGAGTAAAGTCTTGACCACATACCCCATAGAAAGGGGGACTCACCTTTACCTTACTAACTTACACTATTTAGGGTCATCCAATACTCTATTCAAACTCTTCACCACATTCCCACACACCAAACCAACAATCAGCCTAACCCTAACCCTCACCTCATTCCCACACACCAAACCAACAATCAGCCTAACCCTAACCCTCACCACATTCCCACACACCAAACCAACAATCAGCCTAACCCAACTTCCACCTACCGTGCACCTTTGTATTGTTAAAATGTACTTATAATTAGACAACATTCATTTCTGCAAGAAAGAACAAACAAAAATACCCATACACCATTGCAACATTTAGTTAACCTACCTAAGCCCACCTCCCCCATCTTCTGACACATACACAACTATGCATTACTTAATTAAACATTTTTTAATGTTGCAATTTACATATTTTATTAATGCATTAATTAAGATTTCCTATATGACATCATTAATAAAAAGCTTTACTTTCAGAAACACCCTTATTGTAATTATAGTGAGCTGCTTAACTACTCTCCTCCATTAACGCCCTTTGTAAAGTGAGAGAGTTGGCGCCAACACTAAACTAAAACACAAGAAGTATGAAAGTTCAATGTGTCATACAAATTCTGCAAGCTTGCCTTACTAGTGTATTAAAAATTGATCGAATGTAAATAAGTGGAATGTAAATATCAAGCAGTAGCATATTTACATTTGGTCAATATTTATTCTAACTTACCATTTAGATGTTGTGTAGTTATAACAATTAAGTCTGAACACCTAACGAGTTGAATTAATTTTGGAACTTTAGCCCTCATCTGGCATTTCTCCAAATCAGGATTGTTTTGGTAATCAAACAAGAATCCAACTTCATCGCCATTAAATTTTGCCACTTGTACCTTTGTTAAATAAGTACAGAACCACTTATTTCATTAAATAATAACATGTCTGTACAACAAAACAATGTTTTGTACTAAGTTTGAGATGAATACAATAATGATTTCGCCGATAAAACATAATAAAGATAAAAAACATATATTTTGTATTTTACTTATGTGCTACACTTACATACTACCAACTTGATCCTTCAGTTCACGCTATCACAATGAAATATTTGAACATTCCAGAAGTTAATCTTACTTACCACCTTATATCGACACTGATTTGCCACAACAGGATAATCCAGTGATAAACATTGATCACCAGAAACATAGAGGTCCTCAGGCCTAACATGGACACTGTTTTCAGAAAGCTGAAATAACAGCAAAATCCCAGATGAGTTATTTCAAACAAACAAAAATGCAGCTTTCGTCGGCGGTAGCCAGCATGTTGTGGCTGATTACTTCATGGTTTCTATAATAAAAAGGGCTCATATAGTAATACGCTTGGTACCATTAAAAAAGTAACTGTTAAGCCATCTAATTATGTTTAATTATTTTTGCTGGTCATATTACATAACTAGGTAAATGGCCCGTTGAAAAAGTAACTGTTAAGCCATCTAATTCTGTGTAATTATTCTTGCTAGTAATATTACATAACTAGATAAATGGCCCGTTGAAGGAGAAATACAACGGACGCTAGGTTGATAGTGTTGTTGTTTTCTCTAGATCGAAACCAAAACCAAAAATCCTACCTCAAGGTCAAATTGAACCGCAAAAGAAAAATGTCATTACAAACGAATTTTTATCCAGAATCGGCATTTTAACCGGATTTTAGCCATATACAAAAATTCATGTAGAAACGAGAGAAACTAAACCTCCTGTGTAGGATGATCAACGAATCCTAGGTGCTAAGATACCGACCCTCTGAAAAAACATGTATTTGTATGTTCGTCTTTTATGCTGAGTACAATCCAGAAGTATCAACCACATTTTTTTTTATCTTCCTTAAGGGTCGCGGGACACAAAACCTAATACGTTATGAGTGTTATGAGTGCGCATACATCGAAGCGAAGTAAACTCATCCTAATTCCTAGCATGCAGCTGTTTGCAAAATGTAACTTAAGTATACTAATCTTGAGCTTTTGAGTACTCACTTTCGAAATGTATAACTTCTCTTGGCCCTACTAAAAATTATATTTTTTATAATTACTTATTATTTCTTTAACTTCTTTAATTAAAATTCAAACAAGTTTTAATCAAAATTGTAATGCCTTTACAGTTTTGATTTAGAAGTGCAAAATTGAAGCGTAAACGCTCGGAATATTGTGCGCTTCTACACTTGTTGACTATATCAAAACGGACAGCAGTAGAATCCACTACAATAAAATAATCGATAGATCCAATATACACTTAAGGTCTGTTTTCGTTTCTCTGATGCAACTTGTCTAAAATATAAACCATTGGAAGTAATTTAATTTCATTAAAACTAGGTTTCCTTGAATATCATTAAACTAGAATACTTAGCTTACCTTCTGTGTGGCAAATAAAAGTCCACGGGTTTCTTTTGCCGAGTTGAACTGTTCTACTAGTCGATTGAAGTATAAATTCCCATTTGCCAATGAATAAACATTTTTGATCTCACCCCAATTACTGTCAGATTCACCTGAGTCTGATAATCTAAAAAGAAAAGAAATTTCCATTTTAAAAAATGCAATCAATTAATTTCTAATTATTGCGGTTAAAAAACAATTTAGAATTGACTGGCTTAATTTCAAACAGTCACGAATCGTTAGAGTAATAAATACTATAAACCTTCTTCTGCCTGTTTTGAATCGTAAGTTGGAATTAAACTTTTTTACATCACTGATCTGAAAATATTAAAAGAGCTTTTGCAATTACAGAAAATAACATTATCAAATAAGGAACATAGTAAGAGCAGACAAATATTTAGGCAGAAAGTTCTTAGAGTATGCTGCTTTAAAAAGCATGATAATTTTTCAAATTATGGGTTGTTGATTTTTTTTTTAAGAAAAGGGTTATCCATTTATGACGTCCACAAAAATTTAGTATTTTAGACCCCCCCCCCTCTCCCCCTGTCCACACGCGTCAACTTTCGACCCCCCCCCCCATTATGGACATCCACAAAAATTTAAGTAGACCTCTCAATACATGCTGCAAAATTACTAATTCATTTACATGCACTTTGTACATTAACTTAGAATGTAATATAGGGATTTGATATTTTCGGTAACATCTCTTACATCTCTTATGTGCATTTTTTTATTTATTTTTTTAAATTATCAAAGTTAAGTATATTGTGGTATTTTGTGGACTTCCGCATTGAACAGAACCCTTCCTTCCCCCCCCCCCCCCCCGCCCAGTCCACTCGCGTCCACAAAAGTCGATTTTTTACACACACGCACACACACACAGACATACGGACAAGATTGCAAAATTATGTTTTTTCGACTCATGGAGGTGTAAAACGTCAATATTTGCAAAAATCTAGATTTTGTTTTCCACGATTACAATACTTTCTCTATATTTCGTTTACGAGAAAGTAAAAAAATAAACCGGGAGTGATCTCCCCTAAACTTTCTCAAATATTCTTATATAACTTGGAATATAGACATGATTTTTGTTTACTTAAACTTTTAAAAATATAATAGAATCTCGTAGACAAAATAATTGTGGACCAAGCGAACACCAAAACAAAATGTGTATAATAGTGCGCAATATTATTAGTACTTTTTAAATTTACATGCGTTTTTTGAGAAATCGAAAATAGCGTAAATTAGTACTTCCGGTCAACGGAAATCACACAAAATTTGAAAAAGTTAGAAACTTAGATCTTTTACTTACATGTGAAATTTCATTTATCTATCTAGAATACTACTCAAGTTATAGGCTTTTGAAAAATTCAAAGTAGAAAAGGTACCACTTCCGGTTATCGGAAATCGCTCAAAAGTTGATACGGATCTACGATTTTGATAAAATACGTATATATGAAATTTCATCAACCTAGCTGTAACGGTACTCAAGTTATCGTGTTTACACACGGACAGACACACACACACACAGACAGACACATAGACATACGGACAGAATTGCAAAGCCCAATTTTTCAGACTGGATTATGCATATAACCTCTTAATTTTGATAAATCTGGATTGATAATTTTTGCCCGATTAAAATAAGTCCTCTATAATTCGGATATGATGAAGGATTGAGGTATAAAACGGTAAAAATTGTAAAAATTTCAAGTGATTTTTGTGCACGATTACAATACTTTCTCTATACTTCGTATATACGAGAAAGTAAAAATAAATACTTACTGGTACTTCAACTAAATCGTCAAACAATAATTTTGAAAAATTCTTTTTACAGTACTCTATATCTGAAATAAAGATTGATATTGCGTTAAAATGTGTCAATGTATACAGCTCATTATCCATATGATAATTTAGTTGCCTATGTGCTTAATTAATGCGGGCAACGACAAGGAAAATTTGCATGGGTTATATCATCTCACATCTGGTCGTTATACTTAGCATCTATTGATAGGCATAAATATATATATATATATATATATATATATATATATATATATATATATATATATATATATATATAGTGTAATTTTTTAGAATTTATAAATAGATGTTTATTTTATCTATTTGACAAATTGGAAAACTATTGCCTTCTTAAAACAAACATTGACCTACTTAACTGCTGTTTCACCAATTAAAGGGATGTAATTAAGCCAAGAATTTAAACTTTTAATTTTCTCCATTCTTTAACTATACAAAAATAATCGAAAAAACATTTGGATGAAAAAAAATAATTCTAATTTTTTTTATAGTGAATGGTTTTCTAAAAGCTGTGAAAATTTTAAAGTAATAACTAATAATTAATATTAGCTGCATGGCAGATGATAACAAACAAATACGTAACTAACCAAAAGCATGTTTACCACTGACGAAAATGCGTTGAGTAGTGGCAAGGGTGTGCACTTTCTAAATAGCACTTGCTGTTTAATCCCAACTCGTTTATAAAACAAACAAGCACATTAGAGAGTTCATTTTCAAAAACACGATAAGAAACATTAGCCACAAAACCTTAATACAAAACAAATCAAATGGAGGTATAGGGCTACATGACATTCATACTAAAATAAACACCTTCCGATTAAAACATCTGGATACAATAAGGATAGAACCATACTATCATCCATTAGCACAATACTACATAGGGTTAAACATAAAGAGCATTTTAAAATTAAACATCATAACACCACACTATGGGGGAAATGACATAGGCAGCTTTTATAAAGAAACGCTAGCAACATATCAAGGAAACAAAAGCATTATTGGGGAAGAAACAAAAAATATACGACATCCTAATCAAACAACAAGCGACACCCCTATACACCAGAATTAGTTGGGCCAGGGAACACAATATAATAGACATAAAGATACATTTAGAAACCAACATAATAAACACATTACACCAAAAGAAAGGGAAGTAGCATACAGACTAATTTTTTTAATACAACACCAGTTTCACGAAATACTAAGTCAAATCAAAATGTTAAAATAACATGTCAAACGTGTAAACGAAATATACAAGAAACTGAGAAACACATTTATTTACATTGTATATTAGTACAGAAAGCAAAGCCAACACTTGGAAAAATATTAAAAACCAAAAATCAAACAGCCACAACAAATAAAGCAATCATACTTTAATTAACACGACTAGACAAAGAACAGAAAAAATAGACGAGTAGCAACGGCTATTTATAGATCGACTCTATGGGGAAAATAGGAATAATTCAGATTTTATTTTTAAAAATACAGTGACATCGAGTTAAAAAAATATTTCAAACAAAGCTAAGAACTAGACTGGGAACTCTCACTTAATTAACAACAAAAAAGGAATAGAAAAAAAAACTTTAATTAAAACAGTCCGAAGCGAAACATCACTCGATCAGCCCTTGAGTAAATTAATGTTAGAACAGTCTGATGTTTCTCTGGTTTTAAAAGGGCTCAATCTGAATGGTAGGAAGAGATACACACCTCACCCCCCCCCCACACACACACACACACACTTCCACCCACCCAACCGGACTGGCGGATAAATCAAGGGCAGGGAACCTTCATCACCAGGGGTTAATTTTGTGTCATGGAAAATTTTGGAATGATCGATCAGTAGCAGCATTACAGAGACCTTTCTCCCACGGTCGTTTCTATTTCTTTCTACAATGGGTGGCTACAATGTGAACTTTTGACTTCGCAGCTGAGAATGGAGAACAGTAAACTAAGCAGTCAAAAGAAACCGAGTTTGCAAACCTTATTTTAGTCTGGTTCGTATGCCATTTTATATTCTCTATTTAATTACTATATAGACAATTGATGTTCATGTCTTTGAAGCTGTGTGAAATTATTATTACTATTTTAAACTTTTAAAACAAATAAATTTTAAAAAAAAAATATGGGGGGACTGCTATTTGATATAGATGTTTGTAAGTGAAGAATGCTTGATTTGATGTGTCTCATTGTAATCAACATAACTTTTCCGATTGCTTAAAATTTGTATCATTTTAATTTTCCGTAATCCCAAATTTATTTCAGCTCTTCTTAAAAGCCGAAACCCCCCTCAGCCCACCAAAAAATCCCTTGAATCGTCAATTAGTTACACATTTGCATTTTAAGTTGTTTTTTTTTTAAATAAAATTATAATTAGACGTTTTGTGTTAGATCTGTGTATAAGTAAACCATCTTAAATGAATGAAAGTAGGCTACAAGTAAAACAGAAGTATTATATTGTAAATCCGTATCAGTCCTCAAAAGCCGATGATAAAAACTGTAATACTAAAGCGAACATGCAAGGCAAACTGACGCAGTAAATTACCTGTCTGTGGCGGGGGGAAAAAAAGAGAGAAAAAAGTTTAATTGTTTAATTTACGTGCAGGAAGAAAAATGGCGTCCAATGGAAAAGATTATTGCCGTTTGAAAATGTATATGGTTTAGTATGCACTATACTTTTGTTATAGCTTTAATATATTTTATTTTTTCCCAGCTATCAATTTTCAATAGGATACTCTTGACCGATCTTCTAATTCGAGAATAAAAACAAACTAGCTGCAAAGCCTGTAGTATCATTGGCAAAAATATCTTCGGTTGTCTAAGTCAAATCCTAAGGATAAAATTTCAGGGAAACAATCTGAAATGAGACCACGAACAATTATTTCATCCAAATCTTATTTGTATTGATTCAATCGTAAGATTGAAAATCCGTAGTTTTATCAATGCAGTGGCGTAGCCAGGATCGTCTCATAGGGGGGGGGGGGGTCATATTGTTTCCAGCATTATATATATATATATATATATATATATATATATATATATATATATATATATATATATATATATATATATATATATATATATATATAAACATACTAGCTGTATGTCATTGCTTCGATATGATGTAAAATAAATTGAAAGTAGTACTCTGAAGAAATAAGAAAAAACACACAATGTAGGCCGACAAAACAAAACAATTTATTTTACTCTAAACATAAAAAAATATAAACATAATACAAACAAAAACAATGAACGTAACACAATCTGTATTGCCATCCTTGTAGAAAAACAATTTGACCAGAATATTAATTAAGATAAGTGAAATAGGGGAAATAATCACTCTCTTAATATAAATATGTATAGTTCTACATATTTAATTGTAAACTAGTCTACCCGTCACCCGTTGGATAACTGTGGGTTTCGGGGGTCATCCATCAAAAAACATCACGTCTGTCACTCAGAGGCGTAGCGACCCTTTTCTGCGCCCGGGGACAAACTTTTCGATTTGAACCGCCCCCCTCGCCCCCCCCCCCCCCCCCGGCAAGATTTTGATATGCACCCCCCCCTCAAACTTTCGATGTGCACCACCACCCCCCAACATCTCAAGATTTCGATTTGCACCCCCCTCAACCTTTCAATTTATTTTTCCAACCCATTTTGGCGCCCCCTAAGGTCGGCGCCCGGGGACATGTCCCCCCCCCCCCCCGCCCCACCCTCCTCGCTACGCTACTGCAGTGTCACTTATCGTCACAAAAAAACAGACCCCACATTCAAACATATGTTTTTTATCTTTTAAAAACACCGAAAACAACGATTTCGGACTATCCCTTCATATACTGACTTCACAGGTGACCTACTCAACTCTACTTCACCTGCCCAGTGTCCCGCCAAGTCTCAGACATGTTTTTATCGTTTAAAAAAACGATTCCAGCCGAGCATGTCTCTGACCACACTATCCCTTCATATGCTCAGGACAAACAAACAGGTGAACTCTACTTCACCTGCCCTGTGCCCCGCGAGGTCCTGATAGTCAACCTTATCATTCACATGTAGGCCTTAAGAAAAATAATTGAAAACATTGTTGTAAAAAGAAAATATATCTTTTTACTATTACTACAGTCATTGTTCTAAACTTTTATATACAATGTGGTTAATCTACCCATGAATATATCAATAAATTAATTAACGGCTTTAAATTAGTTTGTAATTAACAGTGTGTTTAAGAAGGAACAATATTTACCACTCAAAATACCATTTCACAGCTCTACACATAATGAAGATTCTCCCCAATAACAAATCAGAAAAACAAACAAACAAAAAAATGAGTTATCAAACATCACTATTCAGTCAGAATCAAGCCATTGCTTTAAAACTTTTTAAAAAATGTGGTTAATCTACCTATGAATAAATCAATAAATTAATTAACGTCTTTAAATAAATGTTCAAACATGTAAACAAAGTTGAGTTTTAGTAGTATATAATGTCGAAACAGATGAATAAATTTATGTAATATCGTATCTTAACACTATTCGTTTTTTATATTAAAAATTGTTGTCTACAATCAGAATTAAATATATTGTCATCATAAATGCTAAACTATTACAGCAAAGTGAAAGTTTTTAAAATCAGATTTGGTATAAAACGACGCTTTTCAATCTATAAGAAAAACTAAATCTGATAGGTGGAACAGTCTAAATTATAACCTACATATAACAAAATTATTTTCCTTGCAGTTCAGATCATTCATTTTTTTACTGGTGAGTATGTTGTGGGTGTATGCAATGTTGTGATACAATTTCTTAAATTGTTTTCATTGGTGTTTGTTTTGTTTACTTTGTCCCTAAACTAAACGGAACTTAAACTTCACTGAACATAATTGAATATAATTTGACTATATAACGTTTTGTTACTTTTGATTAATTTTCGTGCTTGTATTTTCTTGCATTCTGTAGAGGAAATAAACAATTTCCTCTCAACTATGACAAGATATATCTGTTTTCGACCGGATATGAGGGGATATAAGCACCTTGTGTATTTCCTCTATCATTGGCCAAAATCAGCACTGCTGTCCTAAATACAGTTGTTGTTTTTTTTTAATTAGTAATTCTTTTGATAAATAAGCAATTATGGTAACGAAAAAGATATTTTAATCCCATTGTGGTCTAACTTGTTTGAGTGACCAGGAACTCTACAAATAAAAGCGGCTGTTAAGAAAACAAGTTAACTAAAAAGTCTAGTGACATTTAAGCGCAATTTCCTTATGTTATCTAAAAATAGCTCTGTCGTAGCGTAAATCAAGAGCAGGATTAGTAAAACCATTGGTTAAAATACATGTTTTATTTACAATAGAGTTGCATGACTAAAAACCATTGCGCGCCTATCTACTGAACGTGATGACGCAGCCATTGAACTTGATGGCGCAGCTATTGAACGTGATGACGCGTGTGGTGTGGTTGGAAAAAATGCCTACTAATTCGGTCCGAATTTTAATTAATTAAAAAAAACATTTGTGACCAAACGAAAGGATATTTTTGAAAACTTTCTTCGGCAATATTGTTCTAAATTATGTCAGGAATCGATTGGTATATGTTTCAAGTCGCTAAGTGGTCTGGCTGCCTAGATATAGGCCAAAAACTGCTTTTTTTTCGAGGTTTTTTGGCTTTTCCGGGAAATTCATGAAAGAAACCCGGAATTTTTATGGCCTATGTTCATTCTCGTAACTTGCTTAACATAATTGCTTTTGGAAATAGTCATCGATATTGCTTCGTTGAGGAGGAGATACGACTTAAAGCCCGGACACACATTCATCCATACATTTCCAGAAATGACGAGTTAATAAACGCAATTCTCCAGAATGGAAATTGCGCTAAAAATCAAATCATGATATGGCATGGTCTAATAATACATATGATTTCCAACCAAAAGCCTTGAGTTCAAATCCAGGTTAAAGTCCGTGTTTTATCTTCTAAGCATACAGAAAATGGGTAAAAAAAGTCTTTCTATGTATACACACAGATATTATACACAAAGTCATACACATACGCACAACAAAGACATGTGTAATTAAGGTAGTTAAAAGTTGAATGTTGGCCATTGCACATTTATTATACTACGATCATAAATAATAGTGCTTGTTTTCTGTGTGCAGCCATTTTCTTATTGCACACTTTTCTGCGTGTGGAGTTTTCCTGTATGCATTTTCCGTGATAAATTTTTCTGGTCACTTTATTATTAGTATTACAATGTACACAAATACAATACATGCTATTGAATTTGTAAATTAAAGGTATATTTTAAGGGCTATTAAAAGTGGATATGGGGTTGGCTTAAACAAACTTTAGTGAATGCCATAAATAAAACACACTAAAAGAATAAAATAAAATTCAAACACCAATAATAGTAATATAACTAATAGTATACCTGTACATTTTTCCATAGCTTTTTTTAAGTTAGAAGTATCTCCATCTTTGGTATAAATGGCATCATAAAACAATGTTAAAAGTTCACGCACATCACCAGGTAAGTCTTTAGTAGAGAGTGCCTTAATGAGAGGGGAAAGAGGAAAAAAACAGCATTAGTTAACTAATAATCTTGAGTTTGTATTATTTTAAAATTTCAAGTCATTTTTCTATTTGTTGTCTCTCTGGTAATTAATGTTCTAAAAGTTCTTTCTTTCCATATCCCTATTGACTGATATAAAAGTAAAATTGCCCTTCTTTACATGGGGGTAAAAAGGAAGATAAAGTAGAGTTTACCTGTTCATGTCACCTAGGCATATGAAGCGATAATGTGGTTAGTTTTATTTCCAGCTAAATTCACTGCTTTGTTAGACAAGCACGTTCTACTTAAAAATATATAGTGAGTAGACATATGGTCTAGCACATTGCTATGCAGGCCCACCTTAAATTGACGGATATAAATTTAAATAATAACAGAAGTAGTTTTGACAGTACAAATAGACCGTTTTAAAAGTAAATATTACCTCACTGTCTAAGTTACGTTTGAGAGTGGCTTTTGTATCGCTCAGGCTTTCGGGCAGCTTCGTGGTGTACATACCAATAAACATAGAGGCAGCACCAAGCAAATCATTTTCAATTTCTTCTCTTATGTTCTTACTATTTGACATTAAAACTGCTTGGCCTAAATCTATTAAGAAAATTCCAAATGAATCTGCCTCTATCATAACATTCTCAGCTGGAAAAAAAAATAAAATCAATTTTTACAGTGGAAATATTTTATGAACATTTTGCACACAAAAAAAAATATTTCATAAATTTTAACTGCATATTCAAGTTAAATTTTAAATTTGATGTATTTTTAGTATAAAAATTCAATTTATAAAATAAGTTCTTAGAACTATTTTGTATATGTCACATCATATGTAGCCCACAGCTTTTGTTTTACACACATAGTAAAACAATTATCAGAAAATTAAAACTCAAACAGCAATCAATGACAAAAACATCAATCCCATAAATAAATGTGTTAACACTTGATTCCAATTAGTAATAAAACTACAACAAAACTTTAAAATCCCACTGACCATGCAAATCTCCATGTAGGATATCGTTACTTTTCAAACACTCAAAAGCTGTTAACACTCCACTGATTATAAAACATGCTAATTTTAATCGCTCATCTGGGCCCAAGCTTTTTGTTTTCTCTACTACGACTTTTATTGTTTTTCCTAAATAAATGCAAAAATGTAAAAAAAAAAGTTAAATTCAATAGGTCAGTATTACCAGCTATCTAAGTAATGTGTCAAAGGGATGATAGCACAAAAAGCTCTGAAGCAAATGGTAGGTAATTTTTATAAAATTAGATTCTTATATAGAGTGCAGCGATACAAGCGAAGGTCATGAGGAGTATCAAAGCACAACAGATGAAATCTCTAGTTGTGCAACCCCATGCTGCTTTTTAACTACCTATAAATTGTTGCATGTAATAGACCACTAGACAATTTTGGCTTTATAAAACATAACTTGCAAATAAAAACGGGTTCAGAATTTCTGAAAAAGTGACCTTTAATGTACTGCATTGTAATTAAAAGGAGGTTCCTGTTCATTTCAAAATGATAGATATCTGGAGTAACTTGTTTTCCTCTCATTTTGTATAAACTGAGAATTTCTTCAGCTTTCATATCTTTAAACATCATCTGTAAAGCAGAACCAAACCATTGTTTCAGTAACAAGTTAGAACAACATGTACATGTGTGTGTGTAGGTAATGTTATAATTAAGAGTCATTTTACAAAAATAAAACGATGAGTCTGGGTAATTTGTTAGGCTCATTTTTAAAAAAATAGCTAGCACTTTGGCTTGTGCCTTACCAAGAAAGTCTTCAATATTATATTTCGATTGTTTCTTTTAGAGGCATAGGTTTTACTACCTTACTTTATTCCTTAACTGTTATTGTAATTCTATAATTCACCCTGAACAAACTATTTTCTTATCAATAATGCATTTTTATATCGAAACCTTAGACAACACATCATTGGTCGTGAATTGTGTATAACTTGATTGTACAAGGGGATGAGTGTCATTATGATTCAACAAGAACAAAACAAAAGTGACCCGTCTTAATTATTTATCATGTTGTTATTGAAAATTGAATAATGTAATCATTATATATAAAAACTAAATTAAACTATTAAAGTAAGAAATGATGTTATTTAGAAGCCAGAATAATTTCCTCTCATCACATAATCTAATTAAAGAATAATATTTAAAAAGTTACACACGTCTATTATTAAAAAAATGTTTTTAAATTAAAATTAGTATACAAATAGGTAGTCAATAAATATTTTACTTTCTCGTACACTGCAAGTAGGAAAATTACTGTAATAGTGTAGCGAAATGTAGATTTGAACGAATTTTCATGTTTTGCACCCTGTTTAAAACCCAGTTTTGCAATAATGTGAGCATGCGTAAGTGTGTAAACATCATAACTTAATCCGTTTTTAGCAATGTTCATATATAAGTATTAGATGATATAAGCAGGTTTCATTGAACTTTTGAGTGATTTCCAGTAATTGGAAGTGGTACTTTATTATGGGTTTCTTAAACAATGAAAACGTGAGTAACATTGCAGTTAGATAGAAAAAGGGTCATACAAGTTTGGAGAGTGTGTACATGTTAGTTTATATCAATTTGGCGATTTCCTGGAAGTGGTACTTTACACTACTTCAATGTGAACACAATAAAAATAGATCAGCAGTGATCTCCCCTAAACTTTGTCGAATATTCTAATATAAAACTACGGGGGATGGCAACTCGGGATATAGACAATTTTTTTAATCCATTTTAATTACTTAAACTTTTAAAAATATAATAGAATCTCGTAGAAAAGAAATGCGCACCAAGTAAACGCCAAACAAAATGTGTATAATAGTGCGGAATATTATTAGCACTTTATAAATTCAAATGCGTTTTTGTTGAAAAATCGGAAATAGCGTAAATTACTACTTCCAATCAATTGAAATCGCTCAAAATTTGGCGGAAGGTAGAGAATTATATCTTTTACCTGTATGTGAAATTTCATTTATCTATCTGAAATAGTACTCAAGTTATAGGCTTTTGAAAAATTCAAAGTAGAATAAGTGCCACCTCCGGTTACGGTAAATCGCGGAAAAGTTGTTACAGATCTACAAATTTTATAAAATACTTATATATGACATTTCATCAACCTAACTGTAACGGTAATCAAATTTTCGTGTTCACAGACACACATGCAAACACACACACACACATACTTACACACACACATACGGACAAGATTGCAAAACTATGTTTTTCCGTCTCAGGGAGGTGTAAATCGTCGAGATTTGCAAAAATCTTTTTATTTTTTTTGCAAGATTATAATACTTTCTCTATACTTCGTAGACGAGAAAGTAAAAATGGATTTAAAATCATGTCTATATCTCGAGTTGCCATCCTCCATTGTTTTATATAAAATTTACGGGAGATCGCTCCCAGTTTATTATTCGTCAAAACACAAAATTAAATGCCCAAATTGATTCGTTGCCTTGAATAAGTCATTTATTTTTAAGTCAGTTATTTATTACTATTTTAATACGAGAAAAATGGCCCGTTGAGGAAGGATACAACGGGCGCTAGGCTGATAGTGCTGTCTCTTTTCTCTAAACTAAAAACCCCCCACCCACCCCCCCCCACACACACACCACCACCCCCCCCCCCCACACACACACCCCCCCCCACACACACACCACCCCCCAACACACACATACCACCACCACCCCCCTTCCCCACCCCCCAAAAAAACATGTCTACCGTCCCATTCAACGAAATATAATTATATACTTTTTCCAGTGTCCGCCCCCTCCCCGAAAATTCTACCCCCGCCCCCGAAAATTTCAAGTACCCCCACCCCTCTCCGGGGAGGAGAAAGTCTGAAAGAAACACTGGTGTCGCGCTTAGCCACTACCCGAAGAATTGCATTAAAGAAAACCACTTTTTAGATTAGACACATTAATTAGGCGGTAATTTTATTATAGAGTATCGATGAAGAAATTTCTTTTGAGTTAGGGAGGGGGGGGGGGGGGGCTCAGACGTTCTTACGCGGGGGTGGGGCTTCGCCCCTACCCGAAGAATTGTATGAAAGAAACTCTTCACGCAAACCACTTAGATTAGACAAAATTTCCTTTTCATTCAATGTTTACTCGAGAATCAATGACGTCATATTACTGTGTGCACTCTCCGGCTTGAGATTATTTTCTACTCTGTGCTAAATGTGACGACGTCATACTTCGTTTTTCGAATTACTATGCATGTTTTTAATTTGCTTGTGTTTTCTCTAGAGCGTTCTTGTCAGATAGATAGATACACAGAGAGCGAAACTATTAGTATTAATGCCGTTTTGAGTGCCATAAGAGCGGTATTGTCTTAAGTTGCATAATTAAATGTGAGCTTTTGCATTAAAATTTGTCTTGCATTTTAATGTCTTAAAAAATTGGTTTATTCAAACTTTGTTAAAAATAAAAAAAATTCTATACACTAGTAGGCCTACATAGTTTTTAAGTATTACAAATACTGCAGACTTTGGGATCCTGCGTTACTGAAAAATAAATAAACATACATATAAATAAACCAACGCTACATAGATTAGCCTGCATTATTGAAACCATGGTTTCTGAGTGGATTGGTCATTTTAAAGTTATGTCTTCAGTTAAAGTAATGTTCTTGGATAAAACAGAGGGCCGAAAGTAAAAATGGTGCTAATGACAATGAATTATTACGAAATTTTGATTTTGTGTTTTGATTAGACCCTTCTTTTTGTACTTAACCATTACGCAAATTATTGGAATATAACTCAGCAGGTGTACCTGTACCACACAATATTTGGGAAATTTTTTACTACATTTACTTTAAAGACAGAAAAAAAATGAAAAAAAAATAGTCTGGGCATCAAGATAAGAAAACTTTGAACATATGCCATTAAGATGGTTGCAAACTATTTGATCATGGCTGGAAATATATTGGCAAATAAATAAAGAGAAAGGCAACAAATAGATGGGCAGCATTGTTCTATTAAAATAACTATATTAGAATGGTCAGTGCTAAAAAGTAGGGATATGAAAGAAATTTTTAGTTACCACTTTCAGTGCCATCACTTGATTTGTTTCTTTATCACAAACAAGTTCCACAGATGCATTGCGTGTCTTGCCTAAACTGTGTTCCTTTCCCAGAACATGTTCATTATAAAATAAATCGGTTCGACCCTGTAAATTTAATCCATAGCAATTGTTCGTACCATGAAAAGATTTAATATAAAATTAATAAAGCTACAAATATGTATTTATTGATAAAAATAATACAAAATATCAAACACGCATTCATATCTTAAGAAGTCTACATGAACAAAATTTCAAAAACGTTTAAAATTGGATCAGAAATGTTTAAACTATCCTAATATATAAAAGATCATGTGCGCACTTCGATCTCTCTCTCTCTCTCTCTCTCTCTCTCTCTCTCTTTCTCTCTCTCACTCTCTCTTTCTCTCTCTCAGTCCGCAAAATATTTTCACAGGCTATAAGTTCAGTATCTTCAGCCGTGTATGGAGATCTTAATACGAACATTTGTTGAATATAATATGCTGGGTATTTTAAATGTATAAACTTAATTTTATTTAAAGAAGGAAAATAAAAAATAAAGGCATATTCGAATGTAGAAACACAATTTTAATTATAAAACCGCAAAAGTGTTTATGGTTGGTTCAAGAACGCAATAAACAATTACGTCAATAAACTATGGAAAGTACACAAACACTTCAAATTTTAGAAAAATCCACTGAAGGTGCCCTCGCATACATTTTTTTAGAAACAACATTCTAAAAATCTTTAAAAATGACCGCCTTCTGGAGACAAGTTGGACTAAATTACATAAATTACTCTCAGATATGTGCTAAAGTTGTAAGGAGGGTCCTCAAAGAGCCTCACAAGACAAATGTGTTTGGAAGAGATGACAGTGTCATTAAAACAGCCAAATGGGAAAATGGAAAAATAGTTAAAACAGTTGCAGCACAAGGAAAAGAATAGACTTTTTAGGACAAATTTATATATGGATGTTAAATGGTCGCCACCTTGTCGTCATGAATGGGACTTTTTCTTATAGCTAGCTCTGTAAACAATTTTACTGCAGACTTCCTGTTTTCTATTATGTTATTCAATGGAAAGTTGTCAGTGTTCTTATGAATGAATGTTTTATTCATATGAATAACAAAATAAAATTATTTAAACAAAAAAACAAAAACAAAAAAAAAGAGAAAATGAAGAAATGAACTCTTTCAATTAAATATGATTTAGATCTAGAATCTATTGATCTACTTATCGGGACGTACGCTATGAAGTGTATACAATTTTCTCGGTCAAAAGTTATACAAATTACTTAAAAAAAACAACAGAAATACCATCGAACAACCGCATTTTAAAGGAACCATTTCATTCTCTTAATCAGTGTGTTCATCTAATATGGTGTTGTGTTGACTAATAATGTATATAATTTGGTTTTTCTAAGTATTGGTAGCCTATGTTATTTGAAATGTGTCGGATTTTTAGCTATTTAGTTATTTCTTTGCTTTGCTGCTAATATCGTTCAATTTGAAGTAAAGCACATTGCGTTTTGACCAATAACTATTTAATACAATATTTTTCAAACATTTTTTAACATTAAAAATATATAGATCTATAATTCACGTGAAACGGGTACCGACGGCTAGTCACTATATAAAAGGAGGAATTTACAGACCTCTCTAAAAAACTTAAGTCCTTGTAAGAATCCTGTTTGTTGAAGCTTCTTAAAATAGTCCAAAACATTTTTTACATCATCAGTTGAAGTGGCTTCTTTGACCATGCAATCAAAGCTGTAATTTTTTAAAATGATAATAATAATAAAATAGTTAGTAATGACATCAATGGTTAAAAAATAAACCGGGAATGATCTGCACTAAACTTTCTCGAATATTTTTATATGCAACAACTGGGGATGGCAACTCGGAATATAGACATGATTTTTAATTTATTTTAAATACTTAAACTTTATAAAATAGAATAAAATCTCGTAAGAAAAAGAATTGCACACAAAGTGAACGTCAAAAAAAATTTGCATAATAGTGCGGAATATTATTAGTACTTTATAAATTCACATGCGTTTTTCGAGAAATTTACTACTTTCAGTCAACGGAAATTACTCAAAATTTGACAGAAGGCAGAGAATTAAATCTTTTACTTACATGTGAAATTTCATTTATTAATCTGAAATAGTACTAAAGTTATAAGCTTTTGAAAAATTCAAAGTAGAAAAAGTTCCACTTTCAGTATCCATCAAAACATGTTTGTAATTTTTAAAATGAAATAAATTTTACTCTGCTCTATTACGCATGATGTATATATTTAAGCGAAGCATGGTTAGTCCTACGGCTTTCTAGATTTGAAATAAGTCTAATTAATTGTCAGCATAATTTTATATATAGATACTTGTTATTGGCATTTGACGTTTATATAAAATAAAAGAGTATATATCAGGGGGATATGCAGGTTTTCAGATAAGTGAAATGTTTTCTTCGTTTAATCTTGCGTGTAGTCAAAGAACGGGGAAAATTAAAAGTTTAAATTTCTGATGCTGTTGCGTCCTTCTATTTCTGTACTATTTTAAAACTTTTTAAACAGGTTTACTTTATATAAAGTCATATTCATCGTTTGTTTTTAATCAGCCATTCGATGCATGCACTGTTTTCGAATAGCTGTGGGTTCTTTTTTTATCATTAGGTTCAAGGACTTTAATGTTTTAGTACAAAGTTTTCGTGCTTAGTGTTATCTCATAGAAATATGTCAATAGTTTTATAACTTTCAAAGTTTGAGAAACTCGTTGGTCACAAGGATCTTGAGACATTACCAATGGCAAAATATAATGTCAGCATTCATACTGTATGCAGAGAAATCTTTCATACAAAATTAGGACCACTAGACGTTCTGCTAACTAGTTTCTTTAAACGGTATGAACAATTGTGATTTAAACTTCTAATGAACCATCAATTGAAAACATCTTACGCTGGGGTATTTTATACAACACACTTATTTTTCTAGAGTTACTAAAGTTACCAGAGTGGAGATTTAACTATTATTGTTGACAATTAACTAACAATAGTATATTAGTATTTTTTTTTTATTTTGTGTATTTATGCTAAAAATTCACGCCTTGTTTTTTCAGGGAAGCATGCGTCATAGTGTGAAAGCTCCTAGCCTAGAGAATAGAGCTAAATATAACACAAAAGCAAAATGATAAATCACACCTAATCTTGGCACTGTATAAAATAATAGGATATACATGGTCTCTAAATGTATAAATACTGAGCAAATCATACACACAATAAATATAAAATTATATCTATCACTGAGATACATAAAGTGTCATTTTTATGAAACTGTCTACAACGTTATCTGTAGCTTACTTATGGTCCTTTAACTCAACGTCATTTTGTAGATCATGTTCATCTGGTGTATTGTTGGATGCCATACTCAAAACCTGAAATAATAGACCAGTTCTAGATCTATATGTTAAGTAGACATATTCTGAATACATTTTCTACAAAGATACGGTAAAAAACATTTTTATAAAAAGTATGAATATTCAAGTCAAATACTCATTATTATTCCTCGGCCCACAATACCCCTAAAAATTGCAGTTTTTTTATTATTTATAATGAAGGAATGGTGAGAGAGATGGTAGATTCCACCAAACTCTGAAGGGTAGGCCTACATGAATTACATTAAGGAAAGTACGGACGGCTGCAAATAGTGCCAACTACACTATCCCATCATATGCAGAGGTCACTGAAGCAGTGAACTTTAATTGACTTCCCCTATAAACCATATAAATAAAAGCTTTTAAAACCCAAAATAATTAAAATTCAGTTTCTAACATTACTTTTAAAAATACAAAATTGTGTTGGGGTTATAGGTTTTACCAGCGTACCCGTCTCGCGCGTTGCTGCAGTCAAAGAAGAAATGCTGATGCAACATTTTAACAAATTAACAGACCTATAGTAATTTGCACAGTTCTTCATATCGTCATGAAACTTTGGGGAGTTAATGAGAACACTCAAGGGGGTGGGGGGAGGGGGAAGGGGGTTCTGCAAAATAAAATCTTTTTTTTTTTAATTTCGCAAGGACGGCGCCCAGGGAGTATGTGGTTTTTCTCTATATACGGTATATAAAAAAAATAACGGATGCGGTTCCACGCCGTTCATCCGATTGCCATGAAACTTTTGGGAAGTAATGAGAACATTCTTGGGGAGGTTTCTGCAAAAACAAAAATGTTGAAATTTCTTATGGGCGGAGCACGGGAGGGTACAATTTTTGCCAATACACGGTTTGGCGACCAGAGTTCTAGATTGGCTATTTTAGCACTTGGTATCCGTTAATCGGGCGTTCTGCATAGCAGATAAGGGGTACTACTATATCCAGCATTAAAACCCCGTCTATTGCGTGACCCGAAACGCCCCGGACTCCCCAGTGAGTGTTTAACGGTTATATTACGGTGAGTGATTAACGTACACTTAATGCTTTCTTTGGTAGGTAAACCCGTGCCCCGATAAATATGATCCAAGCTCAGGCATTGTTTACATTTAAATAACTCTATTTTAGAAAACAAAGTCACGCATTTAAGAACAAAGGATTAGTAAAGCTTGATAAAACCCTCCAAATACATTTGTTCAGACATTATTTGTCTTTTATGCATGACTACAACTTTTATCCGATCGCCATGACAGTTTGGGAAGATGTTGAAAATACTCCTGAGTAGGTTTCTGAGAAGAAAAAAACTTCAATTTTACACGGGCGGCGCACCGGCAGGGTGCAATTTGGCGCCCCAGGTTATCCAATGAGCGCTATGGTGCTTGCGTTCGCTTTAAACAGTGCTATAAACCATGGTTGAGAATATAATAACCCATGAGCGCACTTCTCTCTCTCTCTGTTCGCAAAATATTTTCGCAGGATATCACATCAGAATTCTTAGCGATATATGGAGAATTTGATATAGAATTTTGTTGAAAATAATATGATAGATGTTTTAAATGTATAACCATAATTTTATTTAAAGAAGAAAAATAAAAAAAATAAAGGCGTATTCGAATGTAGAAAACAGTTTTAATTATGCAACCTGAAAAGTGTTTATACTTGGGACAAGAACGCATTTAACAATGACGTCGCTTAATGTTTTTACTAGGGAAAGAGCACGAAACTAATGACATCATTTTCCGAGTTTAGAATAAAATAAAGAAATGAACTATTTCATGCAAATATGATAGATCTACGTACGCTATGAAATCTAGATCTATACAATACAATTTTCTCGACCTAAACGTATAAAATTTACTTTATCTATTTAAATTTTAGATCTCAGTACAACATTTTAAAATATATAGGTCTATAATTCCCGTGAAACGGGTACCGATGGCTAGTGGTTAAGATGGGGCGTTAAAAATATTTCGTCAGACTATATTCTATCCCCGCGGCAACGGGCACGCTAGTTTATATATAAATTGGTATAGGTTTTATATAATATATATACACACACACACATATATATATATATATATATATATATATATATATATATATATATATATATATATATATATATATATATATATATATATAATGGGGGGTCTGAAAAAACATTTTGCGGTGTCGCATTTCTTTTCTAGTTCCGTCTCTGATCACATGCCCAAAAAATGTTGCTGTCATACTTGTCTTGTCTGGTATTGTATTAGAGAGCACTAGTCGACCCGTAGCTTAGCATACGCTTCTATTTAGAGAAGACTTCCTGATAGACACAGTTGTCCAAATAGGGTGGGTTTGGGCAAACGACTGTGAGTGAATGAAAAGGATGAACTCTGGAGAGAGCAACATATAATTGTCCATGAGTGAAAACAGGTTTTGGAAGATGTATCTTTTTGAATGTTTGGCTATTGACTCCAGGAAATATATGTGAAGCGGTGGCCATGGTTAGGAAACGAAGGGGCAAAATCAAAACAAAGCTTCGGGGACAAACGTGGCTCAGACGACTGTAGGAGAAACCAAAGCAACTAAGGACACAAGGAGCGACTGAGGAACACACTGCTGCGAGTACACACAGATATGCCTAGAGAGCTGGATAGGTACGGCTAAGCCCTTACGTGGTGGTGTCTCGCATGGTCCCCACGTAGAAAATTATATATATATATATATATATATATATATATATATATATATATATATATATATATATATATATATATATATATATATATGTATATATGTATATATGTATATATATGTATATATATCTATATATATATATATATATATATATATATATATATAGAGAGAGAGAGAGAGAGATTAACATAATGGGATGGTACGGTTATTATGTAATTGTCAGTAAATACAGTCGGCTAATTGATACTTTCTTCGTGATAATGGCTCAATAAATAACAATATTTGAGTCCAATGGAAATGTGTCCATACACTCAGAAATACAGTCACCCACTCATACAACAAGCCCACCTGTTGCTTGAGGCCCAGCCGGGGTCTCGTTCTGCTAGGGATTCAAAGTGCCTATTTATAATATTAGCCTAAAACTCAAAATGGGTTGATTACTAGTTACTACTACAATCATGAAAAATAACGACCACCTATCTAAATAAATAATCATTATTAGGCATACTCAATCGTAGGCCTACTTATTCTTATCATTCAGATAAGAATGTTATCAAGATCTATGGCCTCCTTATTTTGACCTAAATAAACTTATTTATTAAGCCTAGCCCTATATAATGAATTTGTTTTACTATTTAGATCTACTATTGGTGTAAGTAGGTGGACTTATAGACTATAGTACTATCATAGCAGCATGTAGGCAAATTAGTATATAATATTATCAATATACATATATATATATATATATATATATATATATATATATATAGAGAGAGAGAGAGAGAGAGAGAGAGAGAGAGAGAGAGAGAGAGAGAGAGAGAGAGGGAGAGAGACTAATTATAATATTTTAATAGGACTAAGACAAAGTAAGTATGACTTTAAAAGTTTTACTAAAATGTCTCTACACAAGGCCTAAATATATAATTTAGATCTAGATCTAGTATAGTATTACTATTTAGTATTTACTATATGTAATGTTACTTGATCTAGTAACTAGATCATTTTTATTTATTCATAGTTAGATATAGTATATAATATAGACTTCCAGAGATTCTATATATTAAAGTTAGTAGATCTAAATCTAGTATTTGTAGATTTAAATCTAGGAATTGGTCTAGAATACAAAATTCTAGATATATCTAGATCTATGTATAATTGTATTTATCTACTCTAGCCCTGACTAGTACGCACTAAGATAGGGTAGGCGTAGCGTAGAATATACTGAACTATTGTATGATAAAGAAAAGTATACTTTAAGTTATTTAAGTAAATAAGTAGATGTAGATCTATACTAAAAAAATGTAGATCTTTAATAGATCTAGATTCTCTAGGTCTAGCTTATTCGTCACTTTTTGCTGCGATTTTAGAAGAAAGGAATTGAGATCTTTTCAGGATTTGGCTTCCGCGTCACGTGATCAGTAGTCGCATTTTGTAAACACTGCCGATTGTTGTCACAGCTTCGATGTTTTTAAACAATTTCCATTTTTTTTCTATTTTCTAGGAATTTTTACAGTGCTTACAAACTTAGATCTGCACACAAAGAAGATTTAATTAGTAAAATGAAATCATCGGCTCTTCCCGATTAAAGACACCGACACAGGCAAGGTTTCAAGAAGAATCTAGATCTAGCACCATAAATGACGTCACGCTTTTTTGGAAGATTTTTACCTCCCCCCCCCCTCCCCTCCGTCACACGTCGTCACAAAAAGCCAGACCCCCCCCCCTAAAATAACGTCACGCCTCAACCTACAACCCCCCCCCCCCCCTCAAAATTGCAGTTGAAATTTTAAAAAAAACATCGATATTTTTCTAAAATATTGTCTGAACTCTGTCAAAATAGAGTATTTTAATAAATTCCTATTACACTTTATTAAAACAGTTTTCTAAAACGCGAAATAAAGTCTAAAATTCGTTTCCTAACATTGCTTTTTTATAATGCAAAAGTGTGACGTCGCACCATCTGACCCCCTCCTCCCCTCATCACACACCCTCACAAAATTATGAACCCCCCCTCCCCCCTACAAGTGTGACGTCATTTATGGGCGACCCCTTAGATGCCTAAAAATATAAGCCTGATAGCAATATCAAAGGCTGAGATTAAACAATTGTTATTATGTAAAAATTACAAAAACATTTAGTGGAGAGGTATTTTTTTTTTTGCTTTTCTAGTATAATTAAGCTCAATAATACTGCTAATAGGCCTACTTTTTCATTAGTATTTGTAACAGACTGTACTTTTGAATATTGGGTTCGGGGTGAATTGTGTGTGGCATTTGAATACCTGACCAACGGAAGTGAACGCGTGAACAGTTAAATACCTGACCAACGGAAGTGAACGCGTGACCGATCAATCATTGTATTTTCATGTAATTGTTTTTTTTATATCTCTCACAGTCTGTAGAGTGAGAATGAGAGTGCATATAACCTGAGGGAATGAGAGGTTCGGGGTCCATCTAGAGGATTGCAAGGGGAAACTACGTGCCTGTATAAAAGAATGTATGAAGTCTTATATTTCAACTATGGATATATTATTCATTGTCACAACTTCAAGGTGGACATATCTGAAGAAGTGTTCCTGTCATGTTTATATCAATATATCACGAACCAACAAAACAGTGTTATCAACCATTTAACAGTTACATTGGTCAGCTCGTGATATAAACGTGACAGGAACTCTTCTTTGTTGAATTTTATAACTTATTACAGATATGTAGGCCTACCCTTCAAATGAAAACTTTGTGAAGCAAGGTTTTCAAGTACAGTGTAATAGGGCGAGATCATGTACCAGAGAATAACGAAAAATGTACACATCTATTTAGAGTGGAAGTTATTAAATATTGATTAAACACTTGTAGTCACAGAATTTCATAGTGCAACAGTCTATTGTGATCATATCACTTAATAATTTCCTTGTATGCAAAAATCTCCATGTTAACATGGTTAGACCAATAAATGTTAAAGAAATCTTCCGAAATGTTATTATACAGTGTCCCATATTACAATCAGCAAGTTCCTCTACAGAACCTAAAACAAAATCAACAATGATTTTAACCTGATGATTATTTGAAAAAACAATTTATAAATGCAATTGAGAAACACATGTATAATTATAAATAGAAATGAAAACATGTCAATAACCGAGTGACTGCAGTAAAAACACTACATCAAATTTAAACATGCTAATCAACTAATTTGGCACAGGACTTATCTTCATATTAATAACACATACTTATATTACTCGTCTTCAAATAAATTTATCTCATAAGTTTTAGAATAATCCATATACAGTCGTAGCCTTCCTCGTCTACACGGCATTCCTTTAACACATATGAGCAGTTTTTCACTGTCTCCCATTGGCTGACCCATTTAAGTCGAATCTGGGTCACAACACATAAATAACATTGTTGTTGGGTGTAGCTGTAGGGTTTTTCTCCTCCGTTATCTTTATCCTCCTTGGGTATCTGCATCATGTCTTGCTTCTTCGGTTTCTGATCTACATCAGTTGTTTTCTCCCTTTGAGTCTGTTTACTAGGTATATTAACCAATATTGAACACAGCCTATATTATGACTTTGTCTTTGCCTCACATAATTTTTCATGATTTATTCTTGTCATCTAAACCACTGTATACAATATTGTAGTTGTTCATATCGGAACAAGATACATCCTTTCTAAAATTCTTGTTATTGTTATATTTACAATGGGATGTAGTTCTTTTTAAATTACTGTTCCTTCTCTGACCTGCCAATTTATACCAACATTGATCTTCTTAGTGACCGGTTTCCCGCAGTAAAAACATCTATTTAACCGTGGCTTATTATATTTATGGTAACTGTATTCACAACTTGATACATTACTTCTTCTTTGAGTTTGTGCTTTACCAACTGCACTGCACTTTCTACAAACGGTCACATATTTATTAACTTCCTTGTTGTCCGCTATTGACTCCAAATCATAAAATAATTTATTTGTCAAACTATCAATCTTTGTGTTAAATTTATTCTTAAGTTCCAGTGCTTCTTTCTTCTTCTTCTTCGTTCCTAATTATTAGTGTTGAAGGGGATCGAGATTTATCTACCAGTGGGTTTGAACTCGAGACTTTGTTCGAATTTATCAACCATGAGCTTTTTGCCGACTCGACCACGCCTCCAACACAATTAAGCGTTACGTGTCAACTGGTTATGCGCCATTGAGGCCATTGACTCCGATTTCAGCCTGCTTTTCTTTTTGGATTTGCTTCAATAGACTTTGTCCAACCAAGAACAAACTACAAGGCAGCAGTTGTTTAAGTTTGGAGTTGTCTCTCCTAGAAGAGTGACTGTCCCACAGCTAACAAGCCTCATCTGCCCGAGGGTTCGAACTCGAGACTTTTCGGTTTAGCAACCACGAGCTTTACCGACTCGACCACGCCGACCCCTAAGTTCCAATGCATATTCTTTGAATTTTGACTTCAAGTTTTGTGGTAGTTCTGCTAAAGGTCTGATCTCACCAGTTTAATTGTTTTATTGACTAACTTTTTGATAGATTGATTTTATCTTGATTTCTGCCTTTCCCCGATGGTCATGTTATCGATTGCCACTCTCCAGAGGACTACTTAAACCTCTTTGTCTGCCTTTCTCCGATGGACTTATGTTTTCTATTTGTACTTACTCAACTTCCGGTTCCTGAAAAGCTAATAACTTGAGTACCGTTTTTGCCAGGTGGACGAAATTTCTCTCGTATATAATACATTGTATGCTTATGCATCCGTCAAATATTGAACGATCTATGGTTACTGGAAATGGTATTGCACTCTATTTCAACGTGTAGACTATAACTTGAGCACTGTCCCAGTTAGTTAGACAAAATTTCGAATATATTATTATGTACAATAAAGATCTTATACTTGGATCACTTTAAATTTTTTGTGGCCTCCAAAAAATGGAAGTTCTACTTTATTTCTGTGTTCTACCATCATGCCGATAACTTGAGTAGCCTACTGTTCAAGTTATGTAGATGAAATTTTAAATGTAGGTATAAGATCTTATTTCCTTGATTCGATCAAATTTTAAATGATTTCCGGTGAACGAAAGTATTACTTTACGCTATTTCCGATTTCTGAAAACAGAATACTTCTACTGGATTTACTTCTTAAAGCTTCCCACGTAGGTCAAGGCTCGATGACAATGCATTGTGACATCAATTGTGATTAAAAAGATGTGTAATTTATTTATTTTAAATATTGATATACAAAAGTCCGTGTGCGCACTTCTTTCTCTATATATATCTATTTCTCTCTCATTCTCTGTGAGTCATATTTTTTCCGAGGCTCAGAGATCAGTATATTCAACAATATAATATGGATAACTTAAAGATACGGATTTATGTTAAAAATAATTTGTTGGGTGTACTAAATGTATAAACTAAATTATAATTAAAGGCGTAAAATAAAGGCATATTTGAATGTAGAAGCACATCTTTAATTATGCCACTGGAAAAGTGTTTTTGGTTGTGACAAAAACGCTATATACAACAAATAAGTAACACAAAAACTATCACATTAAAAGAGAATGACATCACATGGAAATAATAGGGAAATATCATTATGAAACAATGTTAATAAAGAGTTTAAGCTACAGAAAGTATTCAACACTAATGGCATCATTGATTGTAGGATAAAAAGTAGAATTAAAAATCAATGTAAAAAAGTATACATAATACTAATGACGTGATCTTCAATAAGATTCGCTTCCGACATCTAACAGTTTTAAATATGAAGGAATGAACCATGTCATTCAAATTTAATTTAGATCTATGCATCTTTTTAACATGATGTGTGCTGTGAAATTTATACAATTTTCACGGCGAAATATAATAAAAAATAAATAAGTTTTTAAAAAAAATACCATTTCATAGCCGTGTATTTAACGGAAGTATTTAACTTATTGAATCAATGTGGGCATTTAATTTGGTGTTGTGTTGACTAATAATGTGTTTAGTTTCGTTTTAATTTTTCATGAACAAGTATCTATCTATATACTAATAAAACTCAAGTTTGTTTACAAGTTCGTATATTTTTTTTTTTTTTATTTTTTTTTTTTTTTTTTTTTTTTTAGTTTGGCCTGTTTGGTTACAGGAGAGAATCAGCACTATGATTAGAGCTGTAAAATACGTATTAAGTTAGAAAATAGTGTTATTTTTTTACCAAAGTGTTAATCACAAATTTATTTAAAGTCGTCAGTTAATTTATTGAAATATTCGTTTTTAGAAACACCACTTTAAGTATAAAAGTTGAGAACAATTACTTTATTTAACATGACGTCACATGATTCATTTACTTTTTTTACAACAAACATGGCGGCTTTCATGCCCATTCAAAAATTTAACGCATTATAAAGCTAAATCTTCTGTCTGAAATAGTAGTCAAGTTATAGGCTATTGAAAAGTTGGAAGTATAATAAGTTCCACTTCCATTTACCAGAAATCGCTGAAACGTTGATACAAATGTGAGCGGGTGAATGGATTATTTTGTATTATTTTATTTGTTGCGAATCTGGGAGTGCATGGTGGTCCAATGGGGAACGGCACGGAGTCCCCTTCCGTCCGAAGCGGTCAGTATAAATTGACCGCTCGGAGTGATTTTCTTCCTTTTTTTGACCCGCGGCGAGATGTAGGTCGGGTCAGGTTTCTGCGTGGCGCACCGCACGCGTGGAGGTATTTGTTTTTTTATACTTTATCTTTATGTGATTTGTATGAATGCGACTGTCGATGTTTCTCGTTTTCTTTCATTTTCGTCTAAAACGAGATAGTGAGCATCGGCATGTCTGGTATGCACGTGGTGTGTTATTTTTTTAAATGTATTATTGTGTTTTCTAAACCCGTGGCGTGTGTTTCGGACCACGTGGTTTAGGTCAGTGTGTTTAGGAGTGTTTCCTAAACTAGTGTGAATGCGTGTGTGCATTTACTTGATTGTTTTATGATGTGTTATTGACTAGGATTGGCTTAGTCAATAGTCAGTTGTTTTAGAAAGTAATTAGATTAGTATATTTTAGTTGCCTCGAGTTTTAGGTTGTTTAAAATTAATGTGTGTGCTGTTTCGTGCAACGTCATGTTGAGTATCGCTTGCTTTGTGTCTGCCTTCATTGGGGCCTTAGCGAAGTGTGTTAACTTTAATGTTATCAATATAGATGTTGTTTATGTAAACCAATGGCTTCGGGCTTCCTTGTGTAGGAAAGATTGGTTCTACGATGAATTTGTTTACACGTTATTTTTTAAGTTGCTAGTTCTTCTTTAGACAGTGGTTAGTTGTTTTTGAGAATTGCTTTTAGAATTGTAATAGTAGGGATTAGTTTTACTCGAGGCTTTAGCTAGATAGAAGTAGTAGGTAGCATTTTGAACTTGTGTATATATTTATGTATATATCTGCCATTACCATGCATTTTTCTTAAGTTTTCCTTTTCTTTTTCTCTTCCCCCCCCCCCCTTCCAGTGAGGTTGCTTGTGCAACTTGGCTGGGTGTTTTGTATATATTGTTTTGTACGTAATGTCCTCTACGTAATGTATTGTACGTAGTGGTTGTACGTTGTGTTTTGTTTGGTGTGGACCTTTGGATGTCGAGAATGGATGAAGGGAGGTTTCTGTGTGTCAGGGCCTGGACCATCCTAGACATCATAAGTCGGCGCAACACCATCAAATGGTCAAACGTAATGTTTGGTGTTGTTTAAAGTTTGTTTTGTTACGTTAAAGTTCTGTTTTGTTAATCTTTTTTTATTTATATAATTTTGGTTCCATGAAATAAATTTTATCAATTTGTTAAAGTTTTTCTGTTTTTTTAATTTAGACTAAGGTTAGGGTTTAACCACTGTGGGTTCTACCACGGTTGCACTGACCGGACAGTAGTAGTAGATAAGCCTAGGGAAGGGTAGATAGAGATTTTAGGTATCCCCCCCCCCTAGCAGGGCTTACAAATTGGTAGCACGAGTGGGGTCAGTGCTTTAGTCTAGTTAAATTTTTTTGTTTTTCTGTTAGAGCAAGTGTAGCTTAGATACATTTTTGTTCTTGATAGGCCCTTTTTGGAACCATTTGTGTTTAGTTTGTGTGTAGTGTAGGGATTGTTTGTTGTTTAAACACCCAGTCAGGTTGGCGGAGAGATGTGCATTGGTGAGCCTCTAGTGTGCTAGGCGGGACAAGGCGCGGTGTGTGGCGCGCGATCTGAAGTGTGAGGCAGACCTACCAGCGACAGGCCTACAGCGAAAACCCCTTGACCCACAAAGAGGGCTACTGGACACCCGCCACACAGGTGTGTAGAGGCGGGCAACAGCACGAGAGCCAGTGGGGCAAGGCGGTTGCGTCACCACCTGGCCCAACCAAGCGGACGCTCCCTACCAACGAGAGGCCTATGACGTCAATTCCTTGACCCACAAAGAGGGCTACTGGACACCCGCCCCAAAGGTGTGTCGAAGCGGAGGCACGATCGCTGGGGGCGGGCAACAGCACGAGAGCCAGTGGGGCAAGGCGGTTGCGTCACCACCTGGCCCAACCAAGCGGACGCTCCCTACCAACGAGAGGCCTATGACGTCAATTCCTTGATCCACAAAGAGGGCTACTGGACACCCGCCCCACAG